CGGGCAATCTTGGTGGGGACACCGAGAGCCTGGAAGAAAGAGGTCTTTCCGGGTTCCATACCACTGTCCGGTTGTCAATTGGGTGTTCACGATGAATTTGCCAAATTTGTTCTTACGTGTTTCCGGCAGGAATGTACACATCGCCAGGGGCAACGGCACCGGCACGAGCGGGAGCAGCGACACGGTTGGAGAGGATCTTGTCACGGATCTGCTTGAGGTCGCCGTTGGTGAAGACGAAACCAACGTTGCCTATGCGAATGTTAGCGCCATGGCCTAGGATCGAGGTATATGTACATGGGAAAACGCACCCTTGACGTGGGGAAGAAGGCGCTCGTACTCTGGGTAGTCGGCGATAAGACCCTTCAGAGCACGGCGGACCATGGTGTTCTTGCCCATGAGGACGACACCCTCGCCGCGGAGCGACTGACGGATCTCGTGCATCTGCTGCGACGAGACATTGTCGACGGTGACGATGAAGATGCTCTTGTACTCCTTGAGTAGGACATCGAGCTTCTCGAAGTAAGCGGCCTTGGATTCTTTCTTGCCCCCCATTGTGCTCGGTGACGCAAAGGGATGTTTAAGGTCTTAATTTGGGTCGTGGGTGTTGTTGGAGAGAGAAAGTTCGTCGTGGGCGCGAAAATTGAGGTTGTCCGGCTGTGGGTGGCCCCTGCTCGCTAATGCGCTAGCGCGTTCAGAGACAGAGGCAGAGAAAAAGTACGACCACCCCGGACAGAGACAGTATTAGTCGCAACATCATGGCTGCACCTTACCAATGTCTTGTTGCGCAAAGCTCCAAAAATGTAGGCGACTGGGTGCTCTTCGGCGCAAGCGGTCCGAAGCTGGTGGTCCAGTCTAGTAACGGAGCGACATCAGTGTGGCCAGCACAGGAGGCACAGATCGAAGTGAGTGAGATAACGTGTGATATTCCATAGTAACCATTTTGCTGCATTGCATTGTTCTGTTTGATGGTATTGCCTTGCACAGGTCACTAACACGAGCAGGAGCAACAGGACAGTGAATCTGAGGAGCGCCCAGGTAAAAGGATCAAGTTGGAACAACCAAAAGAACAAAAGTCCCACTTTTCGGATCTGGTATTATCGCACAATGGAAAGTACCTAATTGGCGTTACTGGCGAGGACAAATGCATCCGAGTCTTTGAAATCGACGCCCAGGGTCGACTACAGCAATTAAGTGATAGGTAAGAAAGACAGACAACAGTCCAGTGCATGCGCTGATGTCAGCAAGATGCATGTCAAGAAGACCTTCTTCAATCACCATCACGTCTGACGACACAACAATCTTATGTGCGGACAAGTTCGGAGACGTATATGCTCTGCCACTTCTCCCCTCACCAGAAGACGATCTGGCGCAGCAGCGGGACATCCCTGCAGCCGAACCAGAGCAGAAGGACTGGATGCCTTCAGCTACGACTCTTACAGTTCACTCTGGCAGAAACAGAAAAACCCTCGAAGAGCAACTCAAGCAAAAGGCAAAGGGTCCCGCAAAGTCTAAAGAGCCCATGCGCTTCAAGCATGAACTCCTCCTTGGACACGTTTCTATGCTCACAGATGTCACCTACGCAAATGTGGATGGCCGGAGTTACATTATAACGGCCGACCGCGACGAGCATATCCGGATTTCACGAGGTCAACCGCAAGCCCACATTATTGAGGGCTTCTGCTTCGGCCACGAGGCCTTTGTAAGCAGACTATGTCTCACACCATCCGGCCTTCTTGTCTCTGGCGGCGGAGACGACGATTTGTTCGTGTGGGATTGGCAAACCTGCTCTTTGAAGGAGAGGCTCACCATCCGAGATCTCGCCTTTGACCATCTCCAGGAACGGAATGCGGTTCCGATGGACTTGGAGCGTACAGGCTACAAGGTCGCCGTCTCTGGTATATGGTCTTTACCAAAACAGGAAAATGATGTGCGTATATCGTCCGTTTGACTTTCTTGAAGTGCAGCATTTGACTCTAGACAGGCCGAGCGTATCCTGGTAGCGTGTGAAGGTATCCCAGCACTATTCAGCCTGGCGGTGGGAGGATCTACGCCTGGATCCCAAATCCCGTTGAATGGTAACGCGCTTGACGTTGCTTTGATTATGGACCCGACAGGCTCCGTTCGGATTGTAGTCTCCATAGACAACGTCCACAAACCAGGCTCAACCACGGAGAAACGAGAGGACCAAGTAAGCAGCCTTTTTACATATATGCGTGAATCATTGCTAACACAAAAAAAGGTGCCTAAATTGCAATGTTTCTCTCTTCAGCCCGAGGGCTTGTGGCAGGAGGATGTAGAACTTGCAAAGGGGTTGGAGACCTTTGAGCGGAGTGGCAACACGGCGAATAGCAGAGTTCAGGGCGCAGATGACGATGCTGTTCGGACCATACTATACAACGTCGAGAACCTCAGGAAGCGTCCAGGCGCGGAGGATTAGCTAACGTAGTGCGAGAGAATTGTTCCGGAGATGATATGGGCTGTCAGCACGGCCGACACACCGAGATAGAAACTAGACCGTTATGAGTACGAAGTGTCGTGGGCTGTGATTGCCTCACGACTTGTGCGCCCAAGCCCGAGAGCCTGTCTGGGCAAATAGCCCGATGGCTCCGACAAATGCGTGAGTGCCGAAGTCTAGTAGAGGAGCACGGGTCCCCCTCGTCTTATGGCGTAAGGGTTGTAGAAACCGAAAGTTGCGCGGCTGAGGGCTACGTGGGTCTAGTCGCCATCGGATTTCTAAGAATCCATCCAAGGCACGGCAACGTGCACATGCCGTCGACCCGTGGCAAGGATCTCACTTTTTTCTTGCGTCGCAATAATCCTCCTTCATCTTCACTTGAAGATAGTGCTTGTCTATTATTTCTTTTTGGCAGTCTTCACTCTGATAGCGCGCGCGCGAAACCTCGGCCAGTAGAATCGAATACTTACTGACTAAGCTCAGTTTTGCGCAGTATTGAATAATACAGACACCCCCACTACGCCTCGGTCCATCGCCATCGTCTAGAGCATTGCGGAGTTTCCGAAGCCACCAAGCCAGCGCTCACTAATTGCGGCATCTTCTAAGCTAGTTCGAAGATCATCCTTCCAGTCCCTTCTCCCTCATCTTCTTGTTTTCATACAAGACACTCGGTACGCCGCTACACACACGCACACGGGTCGTCCAACTTTGACACCCCATCCCACCATCATCCCGCACACGACCCACATTCGCACAACCAGATCTTGCACGCGACCCGCGGGTCTTCGTAAACGTCGCCAAAGTGTTCGCATCACTCTTTCGAAGGGCCACCTCGCCTCGATCTCTGTCCCTGTTCTCCGTGCCCGTCGCTGCCGCCGCATCGCATAACCAGCACGTATCACCTGTAGCGGGGCTCTCGACTGCTTCGAGTTTTTCAAAAGTACAAGCGCGTAACATGCATTCAAAATTAGTCAGTAAGTTGTTGCTTGAGTTTCTACGGCATGAACAAGCGCTAACAGTTTTGTAGTCATTGGGTGAGTTTGCGACCGGTTTCGGCTACTTTTTTTTTTGGACGCCGATCTAACATTTCTAGCTCTGGGCCAGCAGGCCACACCGCAGCCATCTATGCTGCACGAGCTGACCTGAACCGTATGTTGTCTCCTCAAACGATCCTATCCACTACTAACAATGTGTAGCCGTAATGTACGAGGGCTTCATGGCTCTCGGCATCGCAGCAGGTGGTCAGTTGACCACCACGGACGAAGTCGAGAACTTCCCTGGCTTCACAAAGATCGGCGGAGGAAAGCTCATGGTCAGTTGCTAGCCACAAAAAGGTTTTGTGCGTCAACAATTACTTACAAAAAGCAGGAACAAATGCGTGAACAATCCGAAGCATGTGGCACCGAAATCATTTCCCAGACCGTTGCCAAGGTCGACCTGAAGGCGCGCCCTTTCAAGTACTGGCTACACCCCATGGGTGACGATGTTGAAATTGAGGAGGAAGAACACACCGCTGATGCTCTGATCATCGCAACTGGCGCCAAGGCAAGGAGATTAGACCTCAAGGGCGAGGACAAATACTGGGGTAATGGTGTCTCTGCATGCGCAGTTTGCGACGGATCACTGCCCATGTTCCGCGACCAGCCCCTCGTCGTGATTGGAGGCGGAGATTCAGCAGTAGAGGAGGCACTTTACCTCACCAAGAAGGCGAAAAAGGTCACCGTCCTCGTCCGACGAGACAAGCTACGGGCTAGCCGAACCAATGCCCGCCGGTTGACAACCCACCCGAAAATTGAGGTCATGTTCAACACCAGCGGTGTTGAGATCAAGGGCGAGGAGAAGAAGAATGGCCTCATGACACACTTGGTAGTCAAGAATAACCAGACACAGGAGGAGCAGACACTTGAGGCGAAGGGTTTGTTCTATGCTGTAGGACACGACCCAGCCACCGCGCTGTTCAAGGGACAGCTCGATATGGATGAGGATGGCTACCTGATTACCAAGCCTGGTGAGGGTCTTACCAGTGTGGAGGGTGTCTTTGCTGCCGGTGATGTTCAAGACAAGCGATACCGACAGGCCATTACCAGCGCAGGATCCGGCTGCATTGCTGCTCTCGAAGCTGAGAAGTGGCTTGCTGAGCGCGACGAGAGCGTCAGCAACGAACTCGAGACCGAGAACCAAGCCGAAAAGTCGCAGACCAACGGCATCGTTCCCGAATACCGCTCTAACCCTCTTCTATAAACGGCTTGTCCCAGCCCGGCTACTGTCGCGTACTTGCACTGTCTTTAGAACGGGGTTTTTTTCTGGCACACCTCTGACAAGAAGGACACAATTCCTTTCCTTTTTCAATGCATATCTGAATGACATGGAGGAAAAAAACAACCCATGTCTTGTATAGATTTCGGCAACATGATAGAAGCCTTTTTTTGCGTCACGGCTTAGCTAGTTCGGATGTGGCATATTCTATAGAATCTTGAGCGGTTGATTTGGGATTTTATATAGGGAGCACTCTCGGCAATGAAAATTTGAAGTTGTATTTGGAATGGGTATCATATTTCGTGCTACACGAGGCATGCGAATCCTTCTTATTTCAGACTGTCTCCGAAATTGATGATTCAGCTCGTCGTTGCCTCAAGTTGTCACATGATTGAACAACGCATGATGTGCACATGTGACGAGGTACAAGTAGGTAAACTTGACGAGAATATGAACCGTCTAGTTGACAACGTCATGTCACCGTTCGATGTATTTCGTGGCAAGACTGCCGATTGAGGTGGATGATGGGCGAGATAGATGTCATCTAAGGTGATGAGCATCAGCGCCCCAGGCCACTGGCTTTGAGAAGGTTGAGCGCACTTTCAAAAGCCCTCACTACGCTGATGTCTGCATCATATTAGTTGATGTCAAATCCGGAAAGAAAGATGAATCAAGGTTAGCTTACAGTGATTTCTCTTCTGCTGAAGTGTATCTTCCGAGTGTTGGACGTAGGCCGTGCGCGTACAGAGTCTGAGGTAGAGTTTAGTAGAACGTCGGATGGTGTAGGCATTGGGCGTAGGATCCACCTTGAATATGTACGATCCGTCTCATGCTCATGTCCTGACTGCGCCCATATGCGGAAGTACTAGACAGAATGGCATCAGCGTCCTGCTCTTGTATCCCAGAACAGCAATAATTACAGTCATGAGGCTTTCCCATTCCTCCATCAACGCTGCTTCCTCACCGTGGCAAACCTTCATAGCCTCGTGGTACCGATGATGCAGGTCCTCCCAGTCAAAGTCGTCGATTCTGTGCGCCGGGTCTGAATCATCCTGGTCGGATTCTTCCTCGCTGGTTTCACTGATGTGATTGTCGGTATCGTGTTGGGTTTGCTGAGCTGAGTGTGGCCGTTCCGTCTCATCGGAGCCTACTCGTCTGTGCGGTGGACGGGAGTTTTGAGCATCTTGCCTCGGGGGCTCAACTGAGGATTCCGGACTGTTATCCATGCCTTGAGTGTTGGGAAAGGGGGTTAGTATAGGGGGCGAGGAGGGTAGAGCCAGCAAGGTGTGACTTGGGGAGAAGGGTTCACACTTGGTGTCGGAGGTGCTGTTCATTCGCGATGCTTGTGGCGGCGGTCAGTGCTGTGGGTTAGTAGTAGAGTAATTGCAGCACTGTGGTATCACCATGAAGACGACATTTGACGCGTGAATATAGATTTAATATCTTCAGAATAAAGCACAATCCGGTGTTTTCCGGTGTTGTTTTGGATAGTATGCTGTGTACACCACGTGCCTGGCGCGATAAGGATTTGGTCAGTCGCGGCATGACGTTGGAAGGTGCGTCTGACTCGCGACTTGCGCCGGTCCCTAGATAGTACCGTACCGCCTCAGTCACGCTGCCTATTTCCTTTGCGCGCCTTCTCGGTGCTCTCCCATTCACCCTCACCTACACAGTACACAAACAGCTCCCCTCTGCATAGCTTGTATTTTCTTCACAGGCCACCTTACTGGCCGATCTCCATGGATACGTAGGCTGCTGCCAACCGACCGTGGCCAAACACTCACCATGGTCTCGCTGTACCGTCCATTCTTACCACACTACGAAATCTCTGAAGGCGATATCACCTAACACACCTTTTCGCCATGGACTGCGACATCTGCGGGAAAACCGGCGGCCCCAGTCAACCTTTCCACTGCATGACATGCGCCCGCTCATACCTCGAACAGCCCCGCATCGAGCTCGCAAGGACGCTGATGGACCGTGATGGCGTCGAGAAGCATGTCAAGGCAATTATAAATGGCTCCGAGGACCAGGCGATACAGCACGTCTCGCTTGTGGACTCCAAGGGTGGACTTTTGGTCGATAGACAGGAATGCACAAACAATCTAAACTGGGAAAGGACGAAAGCCGAGACGACGGAAATACAGGAGCGTGTGAGGGATATATCAGAACATACGAATAGACTGCGCGAACAGATTGACGCCACACGAAAGCTACTCGAGGCGAAACGCGCAGCCAACGCGCAGCGAAAGTCGGACCTTTCCTCAGCCACATATGGGATCGAGTCGCGACGGGCGAATGAGTTGGACAAGGTCCAGCAGAAGATCAAGAGGTTGGACTACAATGCGGACAAGATGCATCACGATACGATAGACTTGCGCATGCAGCTGTGCACGACTGCGGCGAAGCTTGCGGGTCTGAAGATGCAGCGGCGAAAGACGAGAGATGGCAGTATCAAGGAGGTCTTCAACATCGGGCCCGGCTCACGCCTACGGATACATGACCTCCGGGACCTGAATGGTATGGCTCTGACGATTGCTCAATATGGCGATATACTAACCTTTGCGCAGATGTACCTCCAGATGGTCTGTCCGCCTCCCTGGCTGCGGTGGCTCAGCTCCTTGTCCGCGTTGCGGCCTACCTGGGGATCCGTCTCCCGGCCGAAATTACACTTCCCCATAGTGACTATCCACAACCGACTATCTTTAGTCCGGCATCCTCGTACCAAGGAAAGAAGGTACCTTTTCCTGGGTCGACGCCTTCACATTCATCAAATGCCAGCCCAGAGGCCTCTCGCACGTTGGAGGCACGCATGCACCTACCTAAACCCCGTACACTATTCGTCGACCGACCATTGAGCCATCTCTCTGCCGAGGACCCCCCTGCGTATTCGTCCTTCATTGAAGGTGTCTCGTTGTTAGCATACAATGTAGCATGGCTTTGTCGTACTCAAGGCATGAAGGACAGCTTCAAGCAGTGGGAAGATACGTGTTCGATGGGTCGCAATCTGTATAGACTGCTTATTGCGCAAGAGTCATACAATGCACAGCGGCTGGAGAACGCATTTGACAAGGACATCACGACGTCAAAATCATCCCGGTTTATACTTCGCAAGACCCCTGTGGGTTTCGGGCAGTTGTCACATGCAACATCACATTCCTACCTGGGCATGGCGGAGAATGCAAACTACATTAGCGGATGGGGCCTGTCGCCTACAAAGGTAGTGGATGAGTTGAAGGCATTCTTGCTTGCTGAGCAACAGGCCCAAGAATGGGATGTGCTGAACCAGAAGGAATGGGAGGATATGGAGAACCTGATTGCCGAAGATCCGGTCGTTGTTGGAGAGAAGCGGCGAGGCAATACGGGCTTGGACGATGGACGGAGCTATCTCACGTCAAACATGGCCAATGGAAGGTCTGTGGGATCGCGCAAGGGGGATGTCTCTGAAGGAGAGCAGGCAACGCGGAAGAAGGGCGTAAGCGGCTACGTTAAGCTAAAGAGTAGGCCCGGGGATGACGCATACTAGTAGGGCAGGGGAGGCGATGGCGGTGACTGGTGTGTGTGCGCAAGTATGTATGTAGAAGCAGTCAGGTGGAGAAAGGGTTGGCAGACGTCTCCAACCCATCAAGTAACGGACATAACAGCGGGTATGGGTGTAGTGCACTGCATATGTCCTTACGTATTACCAATCTCTCGCCCGAGCAGTGGCAGGGCGCCATGTGTAATCAGCAGGGAGCGGATGCCAAGGCCGTCGCAAGGCGGATAGACTATGACACCATCCCCCGCTTGCTCACGAAACCAACGCGCCCTTGTGCCGAGCCAGATGTCGCCATCCAAGCCGCCTGCATCTGTGTGCGCCAACGCCAGTCTGAATAATGCATTGGTGCTGAGAAATGTCGGACGAGCACACGGGCCGTCGCCCGGGCGGAGTGTGGAATAGTATACGTATATATATGTATCAGATGGGTCGGGCGAGAAAAAGCCCACACCACCAGTGGATTCCCTCACCTCCAAGACTTTTTTTGTTGCGAAGAAAATTTCTGTCACGTCTGCGCGTCTGACCCCGAAAGACGTGATTTCTCTGACCAACCCGGAGACCCAGACCGCTCAAGTACGGCGTTTGTTCTGCGCTAATATTCCTCGCTCGGAACAAAGTACATATTCCTCCACCATATACGCCCACCATATATACCAACCCGGTCACGCCCTCGTCTCTGGAATTTAAAAGGAAAATTTGCCTGTTGATTCTGTTCTTCCGTTCTACGCACGACTCTTGTCCCCAAGTTTGAGCAGTCTGTCTCCTGCCGCCATCACTTTTCCTCATACTTTACGCAAAACGAATTCCCAGACCCAACAACCATGACGCTGGCCGACCACCCCATCGATACCCCGCCACGCCCGGCTTCGCCAGTCCACAGATTTGGAACTCTGGCTGTGCACGCTGGAAGTCCTCACGACCCCGTTACTGGCGCTGTCATTGAGCCTGTATGTCTATTTTTTTCACCTTGGTATCATCTGATGCGCCATGGGAGCAATTGACTGACCACATGATAGATTTCGCTTTCCACCACATTTGCACAGACCAGTGTTGGTCAGCCCATTGGCGAGTACGAGTACTCACGCTCCTCAAACCCCAACCGGTACGACTCTTTCTCTCTTTGTCCCTGGGAAATATGTGAAGCCCAAGAATCACGACTAACGAGTATCTTTGTAGAGACAACTTTGAAAAGGCCGTTGCGGCGCTCGAGCACGCCCGCTATGCGCTTGCTTACTCCTCTGGCTCCGCCGCCACAGCCAACATCCTGCAATCGCTCGCAGCAGGCTCGCACGTCGTGTCCGTCTCCGATGTGTACGGCGGAACGCACCGCTACTTCACCAAAGTGGCCCTCACGCACGACGTCAAGGTGACCTTCAGCCCGAGCATCGAAATCGACATTGCCGAACTCATCCGCCCAAACACCAAGCTCATCTGGATCGAGTCACCCTCAAACCCCACACTGACGCTCGTCGACATCCGCAAAGTCTCGACAATTGCCCACCAGCACGGCATCATGGTCGTCGTAGACAATACCTTCATGAGCCCGTACGTGCAAAACCCGCTCGACCACGGCGCAGACATTGTCGTGCACTCGGTCACAAAGTACATCAACGGCCACTCGGACGTGGTCATGGGCGCCGCTGCCTTCAACTCGGAGCAACTCTACGAGCGCCTTTCGTTCCTCCAAAACGCCATTGGCGCCGTCCCCTCGGCCTTTGACTGCTGGCTCGCCCACCGCGGCCTCAAGACGCTGCACCTGCGCGCCCGCGAAGCCACCAAGAACGCAACGGGCGTCGCCAAAGCCCTTGAGGCCTCACCACACGTCATCTCGGTCAACTACCCGGGCCTCAAGTCGCACCCGCAACACGCTATTGCGCTCAAGCAGCACCGCGACGGCATGGGCGGCGGCATGCTGTCGTTCCGCATTCAGGGCGGACATGCCGCTGCGGAGCGCTTCTGCCAGGCTACCAAGATCTTTACGCTTGCAGAGTCGCTCGGTGGCGTCGAGTCGCTTGTTGAAGTCCCCAGCGCAATGACGCACGGTGGTATTCCAAAGGAGCAGCGCGAAGCAGCCGGTGTCTTTGATGACCTTGTTCGCATCAGCTGTGGTGTCGAGGATGAGGCTGATCTCGTGGCTGATGTTGTGGCCGCGCTGGAGAAGGCGGTTGTTGGCGGCAAGATTCAGAATGGAGGCGCTTAATTTGCTCTCTTCTCCAATTCTCTTTCCTTCCTTCTTTTCTTTTGGCCGTTTCCATTCATAAAAAGTCCCATGGGTTAAGTCACTCCTAGTTGGGCAATGCATGTATTGGCGTTTCTCTCTCTCTTTTTGTTTTTTTTTGAGCTTTTTTTCCCTTCTTCCCCCAAAGGACATGATTTCTTACTTGCGCAAGCACGAGGTTCACAAAGCAAACTTTGAAGAATAGATAGAGATGTGATTTTGAGTCCCAGTCATCATGGCAGTAGGCTGGTATCTTACTTTGAAAAAGAAAATGATACCTTTTGTTTTGTTTCCATGACTTGGGGAATTTGAAACTTATTTAACGTCCAAGTTGGCTCTGACAATGAAATATCATACATACATTATACGAACTGAGGGAAAAAAAAAGGAATTCACAGACCAGTTAGGCTTATTGCTAGTAGGACTTGGAGATGAAGAATAAATATTATAGAATTTTCGGTAACAGCTACGCTATCTCATCTACTACAACAACAGCAACTTAGAGTTCATCCCGATTCCGCTCACCACCAGCCTCCTGCTGTTGTTGCTGCTGCTGCTGTTGCTGCTCCTCTTCCAACTTCTTCCGCTCAACATCTTCATCCCACATTTTCTTCTTTGGATTCCTCGGCTTACTGCTCTCCTCAAGTACAGTTCCGTCGCCCAGTGTTACTGGACCATCATCTTCATCCTTCCTTGGTTGTCTAAACTGTGGGTGGTCAGGCACCTCCTCTTGCTGTTGCTGTTGCTGCTGATTTTGTTCCGCCATTTTGCCAACTTGTTGCGAATATGAACCTGGTGGACTGGGGTCTTGATCCTGTTTCTGTCCTCCACGGCCGACAGGAATATAGTGTGGTTGACCGTTGGGTTCGCGCCGGGGAATGCCACCAGCTGCGCTAGGCTGAACAACTAGGGTTCTCGACGATGACGAAGGTACTGCAACGCTCGAACTTGCAACCGACGATGCTGCGCCGATTGGGGCAACGGCAAAAAAGATACGAAAGACAAGCTTGAGCGGCCAGAAAACAAACCACGTCAGAGGTCCGTATAACCAGCGTCGGAAAACGAGCCAGATGACAGTTGTTATCAGAACGTAAAAAGTCGTTTCCAAGTACCACGTGTCACTTTTTTGGCTCTTCAGTAATGTTGACACCAGAGTTTTGCTATTTGCTAGCAAAGTGTTGAGGTCAGAGTAATTGTCGCCAAGGTTTTCAAGTGCAGCGGTAGATTGTTCAAGTGTCTCTTGCGCAAATCGAGAGCGTGAAAGCTCGTCTCTCATCAACTGGTGTGTCCTACGTAGGGCGGCGGTAACGTCCGAAGAGGCCTGAGCAACAATTTCGCCTTCTGATGTTCCTTGCTGCTGCCTTCTTTGGCGATATGTAGACGAAGGCGTAGAGGAGCCCGATTGTAGGTTCGAGAAGAGCAGTTCGCGCTCTTTGAGTTTTGCGCGGTCGGCGTTGTGTTTAGCAGTGAGCTGGGCCTTGCGATACTGCGCTCGTGAACTGCAGATGTATATTGGGTTAGTGACCAGCAGAAAACATCTCTGGAAAGCATAAAATTTGCCCACTTACGATTTCAAGTCTTCAGTCAACCTTGCAAGTAGTACTGCTAGCCTGCTCCTCTCGCTCTCTTTGCTACTGTCTCTTCTTCGACCAGCAATGCCACCCTGTAGAGTAATGTCCTCAACTTCCTGCCTCAGAAGCTCTAGTTCCTCCTCGATTCCTTTGAGTGTCTCGTGTATCTCGGCGCCTAATTCCAACCTCACGTCACCCTCTGCAGGGTCTAGTGGCTGTGAACCGGGCTGGAAGTCTAGTTTGGCGAGGCGCTGTATGAGCTGACCGACAGCCTTGTTGGATTCGGCAAGGGCAGTTAGGCGTGTGGTTAGGGATTGGGTGGTGGAGGGAATAGGAGCCATGGTGAGGCTCGGAATGCGGAGAGCGACGGTGGCTGTATGAAAGTTGCCCTATGACGGAGGCGGTTCGTACGGCGGGCTGTTTGTTGTGGGTGGGGGAAAGAGCGCAACGTGTCTGAACCACCCGCCGTAGCCTGGCAGGAAATCTCGAGCACGGACTCATGGTGGAAGTGCGACTGGGAGAGATTGAGGACGCCCATTGCGATTTCGACCTTCTCCTACCAGACATTCACTGGTACGTCGTCGCATCCTCGCCCACTCGGCAATTGCCAACGCACCGTCTCGATAGGCCTCGCCTTTCCGTCGCCGCCATGATCACCAGATTCCTTACCGACGTTCGCGTAACCTTCAATCCCTTCTCCCCGCGCTCAAAGCCCGCCCGCCTCTTCCTCTCCCTCATACCGCCGGATGCGCGCTCAGATGGCATGAAGATTGAATCCAAGATGCTGCCACGACACAGCAAGGAGCCTGCGACCTTGGGTGTCAAGTTCAGTATGTATTCACTTGCCTAGTTTGCAGAATATGGGCTGATCCAGTTGCGCAGAAGATGGAAAGGAAATGAACCTGGATCTCACAAACATGCGTATCCCACAAGTCGTCGAGGAGGTAGATAGACACTCACGGTCACTGGCACGAAAAGAGGAGCTAGCAGGCAATTAAAGGCCCAATTTGATGCAAATAATTGTACATATACACATCCATAAAGAGCAGAGGCTGGCGTCATGGTAGCTTTTTTTTTTGCTGGGCCTTTCGCGTAACGATTTCATGATTTCTACTATTTTTTTGTCTCTACTGCTCTGTATCGGTACATGATGCACTTGTATCTACCATTTACCGCAGTATTTGCCATAGAAGTCATCCAGGCTAGCCATCAGACATTGTCGATGCAGTATCGCACATTGCCGCTTGCCCGAAATTCACTCCGTGGCCATGGTGGGCAACCATTGGACCTAGTTGGATGGGGCACCAGAGATGTAGAACCACTTATCGATGCTGGGGTCGATGGGAGCAGGTGCCTTGTTCTCGCCAGCGGGAATGTTGAGCGAGCCAGCGTCAGCGCGATCTGGCGACTTGGAAACGGTGGTGTTGGTACTACCAGGCAATTAGTAACAGTCAGGGAGAGGATTGATGCACACATACAGGCTGATCTCGTCCTTGGGGGTCTGTCCAGTGATGAGCTTCTCCCAAGCCTCAGCACACTCATGGACAATGTCCATGGCGTACTTCTTGTTCTTGCACTCGCCAGAGAAGGCAAACTGGTTCTCGGGCTTGCCATCTGGGATCTTGTAGATGCGGAACCACTCGTTTGTGGCACGGAGGAGACCAGGCAGGTGGCGCTCGACATCCTCGACGTCGTTGAGCTTGGGGGCCAATGGGTCGTTTACGTTGATGACCATGATCTTCCAGTCGGTCTCGCCCTCGTCGAGTAGAGCCATAACACCGAGGACCTTGACCTGGATAACCTCACCGGGCTTGGCGACGAGCTCACCAATCTCGCACACGTCGAGCGGGTCGTTGTCGCCCTTGGCCTTGGTCTCTTGGTGGACGACATTGGGGTCCTCCCAGGTCTATGCAGCATCAGTATTCGTGTTTGTGTGTAGGCCGATATCGGAATCGCATCATCGTACCTGGGGGAAGGCACCGTAGTTCCAGAGGTAGCCCTTGTGGGGGAAGCAGTTCCTCACATAGCGGAGCTTGCCCTTCTTGATGTCCTGCTTGATGGGGTTGAGGGGCTCCTCCTTGGAGATCTGGATACACAGTCAGCGTGCTGCATTCTCGAGACGATTGAGAGGGTCAATTGCGGGCTGCATACCTCCATCTTGGCATTGGTCCAACGCGGCACCTCAACAACCATGTTGAGGATGGTCTCCTGCTCGTTGGCGAAGAGGGGGATGTCGTGCCATGGCGAGATGAGCTGGCCGTCCTTCTCGATGAAGATGCGGTGCTCGAGCGTGTTGGGGGCGGCAATCTTGCGGGTGGTGTAAGACATGGTGGGCGACTTCTTCGTGGCAGCTGTGTGGAGAGCTGTGGAAGAGGAAGGGGTGTTGTTTAGATGGCCTGCTAGTAGACGAGCCCTCGAGTTGATTTTGTCGTTGAGGGGTCTAGTGGGGCTGCCGGCAGGCGGGGAGCTGTGTTGGGATGGCGGCGCCACTGTGACGAACGTCACCGCTGGCTGTCTGCATGGGACAGCCAACGACAGGTGAAAAGGAAAAATTGGCCGAGAGGTTAGTGTACGGCCAGGACGGAGCTGCGACACAGCGCGGTGGGCGGGCATATAGGCAGTCTGATTTCAGACGGCGGTCAGAGCATAGCCGATGTCCTTTCCGCGCGGTAGCCCAGGCCCGAGGATAGAAAAACGACGACGCTGTGGAGCGCATGCCCGAGCTTCCCCAGCTGCCAGTGCCTAGCACGTACCCAGTGCACAGACACACCGCCCACTTTGCCCACTAGCCACGAAACACCAAGCACGAAGCAACCATCTGGATATGTACCAAGTCATCCATCTGCTCGGCCCTCGGAGCAATCGTCCATGCGTCTGTACATGCTTTTGATATCTAAGTATGCACACCCGAGTCATTGCCGTCCGGTGAGGCGCATGTGGCATTCATAAGCAATATGGCATTAACTTGATGCAGCCCTCTCGGCTTCAATACAACTTATTTGGCCGCCAGAACCCAGGCGCCACATGACGGTTGATAGGCCAAGAATCCTCACTGATGTGGTTTTCCAACCCGTGCAACATGCTTTCCTCTAGCGGATCATCCCAATCACCATCACCATAGTCCATTGCCATGCCATTGTCCATGTACTCTTGCTCGAAAGCCCATGGATCGTCGCCAACCGCCTCATTGCCCAAAATACCCAACGGTAGATATTGGTGTTGTGCCTGTTGTTCGTAGATACTAGGGCCCCTAAACGTCGGTTGCACATAATGTTGGGCAGGCAGCTCAGCAAAGCGTACAGTAGGAATGCGCTGCGTCGGCATACGCGAATTTGTCCTGTGTGGTCGGTCTGCTGATTGCATCGGGAGCAATTGTTCTGATCTGTTGGCACCACTTCTTGGTGACGGAGCTGACCGATGTTGGTTGTAGAAAGTATCTTTGCAAACTTGGAGAACCATTTCGAGGTCTGAAGACGTCTCTTGGTCTTCGCCGCCGTCATTGTAGTCGTCATCTAAAATCCGATGCTTGCTGACGGGACGTGGTTCTTTTCTTAGATCGGACGGCCTTCCAACCCTCGGGCTGTTCGAGCGCTTTGCCGCCAACCCTGGATATGCGTGCATATTTGGATAGGGGGGCACGGCAGGTGGCATTGATGACGATGAGTAAGCTGTACCAGTAGTTTGGAGCTTCGCAGAGCGGTCTACGAGGTTCACTTGCTTTGGAGACGACGCTTGTTGGGGACAGGACTGTAATCTGTACCCTCTGCTGTGGGATGGAGCCAGGGAGGATACTCTGAAACATCCTGGCGCATCGTCTGTAGTCTGCTTGGCTACTGAAGGAGGCTCTGGCTGTTTGAATGTTCTCTGTGGTCTGTTCGGTTTAGACCTGCAATGTCCATAGCGATCCGAGTCATGCCAGTCATGAGGCGCGTCATCATCGGCTTGATGGTGTGCTGACGTAGTGCTCAGTGCTCGAATGGATCCAGACCAGGACACACAACTAGTACTCTCGTGTCGAGGGTGCTGACCATTAAGATTTGGAAAAGATACTCGATCAACAGGCTCGACGACAGTGGGTATCGCTACATCAGTCATCGAGCTATGATTGTGATGACGCCGCTGTTTCTCACGTACGCTGCTATGGCTAGCGGGTTCGTCTTGAACCTTTTGTGCCAGCGTATGCCGCCCTGTGGTGAAGAAAGTGGAAATCTCTTCGTCTTTGGTGTGATCTATCTTGCGCTTCTTCCTGGAAACATCTGGTTGGGGTGGGGGCTTGGATTCGTCGTGTTTCTGCAAAAACTTCATTTCGGAAAAAACAAGATCAGGTACTGTCGCAATGTCAGTTGGATCGGATTGCATTCTGTTTTGAAGTAGACCTGGGTATCTGCGGTGGCTCTGGAACACCTACAGCCACGGCCTCGGACTGCAGCCGACGCCCGACCTTTGTTAAACAAGCCCAGCTCTGAAGGCTTCAACTATAACAATCATCAGTACAGTGGCGTGGAAGGTGTGATTCTGGATTGGCGCTGCATGGAAATCATACAGTAAGCCGATCGCCTGATACATTATTGGCTTTGAAGTTTCGCACTAATTGGCCAGACTTCTCGGCCTTCTTCTGTCTGGACTTGTGCCGCGCTTTTTTCGAGGAGTTGTTAGGTCCTGAGTGTTCGGGCTTGTTTGGCCCGTAACGGTCGGGACGTGTTTTCCGCCTGGGCTTGCGAGCATACCGATTGCTCGTTGAGGAGCTACTGGATGAAGCAACGAGAACATCACTGGCAGCTTGCTTTCTAGGCCTTTGCTGGACAGGGGAGTCCTGAAAAGGGAGAGGCTCAAGTAAAGAGCTGTCTGACTTTGCTCGCCTTGGCAAACGCTTGCGCTTGCAAGCATCCTGAGGGACGTGGTGCTGCTCTGTCTCCTCCAACCACTTCAGGATGTCCATTGTGGGCTGGTCGCTGTAGGTGTGGTGTTTCAGGGCTTCTAGTAATGAGTGGATATGGTGCTATTCAGGGTGTCATTGTATTCGAGTGTCGTTAGGTGGTGTGGCGGAGGTCGTCCCATGTTGGACATGGAAGAGGGGGGGGGGGAGGAGCGATGAGAAATTGCCCGCCCGACTTGAGACGTGCCTGCCGTTGGAGGGAGCGTGGTGACACATGCCTAAAGCTCAAGGCAGGTACGACGGATATGGGACATTGGCTAGTGTCTGTCTCAAGGGAGGGAAGGCACGACTGATCAGACGGAGAAAGGGGAGGGTGCCGTGTTTGCAACATGGGTTGGCCACAAGCGACATGGCTATTCACCACATGTTTCCGGCCTAGGTAACGAGACATGTCATGGTAGCTTGATATGATGGCTGTGGGATAATTCTGGGGCAAACCCTGCTAGAAGTGTAGAGAGATGTACGCTGCTTTAGCAGCAGCAAAAGCCGAGTCCAGCCGGCGTGCAGGCGTGAGTCATTTACAAACAGACGGGATCCGGATGGAGAAGGAGAAGGTTAGTGTTGTTGGCGTTGTCTGGTACAGTGTGGTGGAGGATGGGGCAGCATGTGGCAGGTCCGAGAGGGCAGCATCCGTGCCGTGAGTAGTATTATATGTTGCATGCTGCCAGCCGACGTTTGATGCCAAGACGCCAGTCAGGCTGAACACGGCGCGATGAGGTTGTATGATGCGCATACAACGTGCATATGTAGTTTTGTGCATGCGTACATGCATAATCGATCAAGTGGTTTGTATAGCCGCAAGACAAAAAGAAAAAAAAAGACAAGAGTTGAGGCAGTGGGTAGTGTAGGTACAGTAAGTACAGCACGGTACTGTACGCTAAAGTAGATCATCTGCTGGCGCAATGGTGGCGAGCCATCAAAGGCCGAGAGGGTTTAGGCCCGATCCCCACAGCATCTGACTAGTGATGGCGACTTGATAAGCTTCTTTGAACCACCACCCTGTGTCCAATACCCGGCCTTGGTTGGGGATTGGGGACGACAGTGCGCGACGTGGACCAAAGCCACGCGCGAAGATCACTGCTGCGCTGAGTAGTAGCCAACATGTTCGCGGAGCAGGCATGGCATGCACCTGGACTGGCATCTCGCCGTGGCCCAATGGCCGTGTCGAGGCCATGCCGGCAGTGTGTGCGACCAAGGCAGAGGAAACCATGGGCCGGGGCATCATGGGCACCTATCAGAAAAATCCTCTGCTCTGGCTCGCCGACAGCCCTGCAATTGGGCAATGCTTAGGCTCGAGCTAGACACAGCCTGCATATCCCCAGCATGAACAGACAGACACGGGACACACTAGGGCGAACCTGCCTGTCAACCGGCGTGAGGCAGAGCCAGTCTCTTGCTGCCGTCATTGTCAGCTGCAGCCTGCAGGGCATCTCCCGGCTGCGAAACACCGTGGCTACAAGAGCCGTACATTGCATTGGGCGGGCGGGCATTGGCATTGGCATTGGCTCTCCATCCCACTGCCCACTGCCCTCTGCCCACTGCTCCCAGTCCGTGCGCCCGTCCTGTCGACTTGGATACAGTTAGCGCTCTTTCACCTGCCACACTGGAGGGGTACTCATATCACACTGCCTGCCCCGCCAAACCCACACGCTGTCGCCATTTGTGCTCTTCTGTCCGTCTGGCGCCATCACCCTGCCGTTGCGCTTCTCTCGATTCCATCTCCCTCTCCCTCTCTCTCTCACTCACTCTCCCTCTCAACCATATACATACATACATACACGACTGTATCCCAGCCCGGTGCTACTATACCAAATGTTCGTCCTGTCACGTTGCTACCTACTACTATCTGCTCAAGAAGCCGTCATGGATTCCGAGTCTTGCTCGGCCTCTCCTTTTGTCATGCACCACCTCCTGTCAATCCATGTCTTGAGCTTTTCTGTATCGCGCGCATTGCTTTGACCTGCGAGAGCCACTATTGAGACCGTTCAGTGTTCGATCAAGACATCGCCCCCAACATGGCCAAGCTCTTTATTGGGTAGGTGTGCAGTCCTCCTCCAGCAAGTCCCCACGTGGCTGACCTATAGCAGAGGCCTTGCCTGGCATACCGACGACCAGACTTTGCGCTCAAAGTTTGAGGAGTTCGGGCCAGTCGAAGAAGCTGTAAGTGACTGACGGCGCACCAATGCCGGCCACCGTGCACACACGGCATACTTAGTCCACTACAGGTTGTCGTCAAGGACCGCGATACTGGTCGCAGCCGAGGCTTTGGCTTTGTTCGCTATGCGCAGGAGACCGAGGCTGATGCTGCCATGCAAGCCATGAACAACGAGGAGTATGCAGTCCACACATGTCATGTCGTCGTCTACTACTAGGAGGCTTTGGATACATGCCCCAGCCAGCACAAGGAATGCGCTGATGTTTCCAGGTTTGACGGACGTAGGATCCGTGTCGACAAGGCTTCAGACCGCCCTGGTGGTGGCGGCGGTGCGCCCCGAGGCGGAGGCTATGGAGGCGGAGGCGGATACCGCGGAGGGTACGGTGGAGGACAAGGTAAGGTTTCGACTGTCAGAATGGCCTGGAATCTCACTAACCGGATTACTAGGCTATGGTGGAGGCGGCGGCCGTGGTAAGCTCCCAACATGTACTCTGTGGTGACTGACAATCTGACTGTATAAGAAGGATACGGCGGCGGCGGCAACTGGGGCCCTTCACAAGGCGGCGGAGGCTACCAATCTCGCGGTGGCTACGGCGGCGGGCAGGGAGGCTATGGCGGACAAGAAGGCGGTCAGGGCCAGCAGCAATGGTAGGAAGGCTGACGGCGTCTTTGGCCCGCGATTTTGTGCTTGGAGCAGGTAGGATGAGGGATATGCGATTACCTTGCCAGCCCAGGCCGGGGTTGGCCCTTGGGCCTAGACCCGTGTCTGGACGACGAGGGTGGTTCCGGACGCGGCCGTTTGCATGAGCGTGATAAGTAATGCTTGGGCATGGCAACGAGGGGTGGTTGGTACTGAGAGATGAGATACCCATTGAGTCAGGAGGTGCTGCTGCTCTGTCCTTGTCATATGCGGATGACTTTGGTCTATTTACTACTACAAACTTTCGTTAACTGCTTCCGAATACATGGCCCTGGCCGCTTTGCGTGCATGCCCCATTGGGCCGTCTGGATGCGAGGGCGAGGCTCAAGGCGAGGGCGAGGGCGACGAGTGTGTGCTGTGTAGGCGGCAGCCCGTCAGTCTGCAACGGCAATGAGGCAATGAGGCAATGAGGCTCTGCGGTACCTAGACAGCAGAAGCAAACCTCGGAAGCAGACGGTGCTCCGATCGCCATGGCGTCTGGCACACGCTCTGCACTCTACCCTACTCTCCTCTCCTCTACACTGCACCACACGACACACATGGGCATGCATAGTCCGCTCTTGTGCACGACGACGCAATGCCCAGAGGCTGCAAGTGCAGGCTCGAGCCCGGCTAAAAGCACGCATTGTGACGGTTGTTGCATGCTGCATACCTAGTCGCTGACCATTTCCGCTCAAGCTGCAGCAGAGACGCGTCTGGTGAATGCAACCGTCTGCACGGCCATGGGGGGGTTAGCGACTGGCCAGCCCTCACCCACATGCGGCCCCTTGGTGGTTGCTTTTGCTTTGCTGCTGCTGCTGCTGCTGCTGCTGCTGCCTGGCAAGGCCATGTTTACTGACTGATCAACAGGCCCGCCTGTGTACGTACTTCCACGCCTCACTGCCTGTCTGACGGACTGGCCGACCCCGCATCCTTCCCTCTTCCCTACTGTCTACCCCATCGCCGATTACGCACCATAGTCCATTACGTCTGGATTACCCTACTGCTTCGGCCATAGCTGCTTGCCCTACAACAAAAGCATCCACAGTATGAAAAATCCAATAGTAGCGTCGGGCCAAACCGCCGCCCCTGTCCACCCTCGACGCTCCCAAACGGGTTCGCGTGCCCTGTCGGCGGCTTTCGTCACTCTCGTCTGCCTCGCAGCACTCAACACTATATTTCCTGCATCCAAGACACGGCATGTCTTGTTGCCTCTGCACGACAAGCCTGCTTTTGAATGGGACGAGGTATGGAAAGAGTCCATTTGCTCATCGTCACACCGCACGCTACACGTACCTCTGCGCTCGCCATGCACCTTCTCATATCGAAACAATATCCCACTGCCAAGTCCTGCACCAGACCGCTACTCTGCTCCAGAAATGTTTTGCCTAGGCGAGCTGCTTGTTGCAAACTAGTCTATCCCACTCTTTCTCGTTGATTTTTCTATTGCGTTGGGTAGTCTACTTTCCATCTCATTTCGATTCAACGAAAAAAAACCCGCATCAAATTAACCAAAGCCCAGATATCGGCTAGTGAACATTTGCAGTTCCACAAATGCTTCAACGGGTTTGAATGCGCCAAACTAAAGTTGCCATTGGACTACTTCAATGGCACCTACCCCAATCACACTGTCAGCATCGCCATCACAAAGGTACCCGCTGTGGTGCCGGTTAGTGATCCACGCTATGGTGGTCCTATCCTGACAAATCCCGGCGGACCAGGTGGAGCAGGTGCCGCGTTTGCCCTCACTGCAGGAAAAGCACTACAACTTCTTGTCGACTCGGATGAGCCTCCAACAATTGCTTCCAGTCATGCAAAATACTTTGATATTATTGGTTTCGACCCTCGCGGCATTGGTCGGACAGAACCTGCTGCACGATGCATGCCAGATCGCCCTTCAGCATGGTCCTGGAATTTAAGGGAAGCTGATGAAGGCCTTCTTGGAAGCTCAGATGCAGCCCTGGGGAGACTCTGGTCCATGACGCATGCATTTGGTGCATCTTGCAAACTTGCCGACCAAGGCCAGAGTGGTCCAGACATCAAGCGATACATGTCCACGGCGTTTGTTGCCCGAGACATGCTCGAGATTGCTGAGAAGCACGCCGAATACGTTGCAAACGAGGCCGCTCGAATCGCCGCTAGAGATTCTGGCAAGCGACGTGCGTATGACAGCACTGCATATGTTCCAGGACAGGCCAAGTTGCAATACTGGGGCTTCTCGTATGGGACCTACCTTGGATACACATTTGCCTCCATGTTTCCTGACCGCGTTGGGCGTTTGGTCCTTGACGGAGTCGTCAGTTCATATGAATATAATCACTCGCAAGGCAACGGGAGTCTTGTAGACTCTGAGAAAGCGTTATCGTCCTTTTACACATTTTGCTTCAACTCTGGTCCCAAGCACTGCCCATTAGCGACGGTAAACTCCAATGTCACCGATATTCAAGAGCGCGTCCTGCGAATTGTAGACTCCCTGTATCACGACCCACTTCCAGTCGTCTCGCTCGATGGGCCTGAATTTATCACATGGTCCGATGTCAAGATGTTGCTATTCAGCTCCGTGTATCAACCTCGCGTCCTGTTTCCCTACATTTCCCGGATCCTTGCAGCCATTGAGGCAGGAGGTGGCATTGAACTTAACCAGCTAGCTCAGACCTTCCGCTACACTCACGTATACTCTTGTCCTGCGGGTCATGCTTCTGATTCCAATGACCCAAGTTCTTCCGTTGTATCCACAATTTCCATTCTCTGCAGCGACGGCATCGAACAAGACCACCTCACAAAAGACGAATTCGCCGCTTATTGGGAACTTGTAGAATCTGTATCACCCACCTTTGGAGCTTACTGGTCAATGCTCCGAATGCGCTGTGCAGCATGGAATATCCGCGCAAGCCACAGATTCGAAGGTCCCTTTGGCGCTAGTAATACCTCTAACCCTATCTTATTCATATCCAATACGGCAGACCCTGTTACTCCACTGAACAGTGGTCGGTACATGAGCAGCCTATTTCCTGGCAGCAGTCTACTTGTAAGTGACCATGCGGGTCACTGCACGCTGTCTGGACCTGACAACTGTGTTTTCGAACGCGTAAGAAGCTATTTCCATACGGGGGAAATACCAGTGTCCGGCACAGTTTGTGTTCCGCCTCCAAGTCCTTTTTCACTAAACTCAACGAGACCGGATTCGCCGTTTTATGATCCTTCGCTCGAGAGTGCGGAGCTTGTCGTCACACAAGAGTATGGCATGGATATCAAGCAGCACCAGCTTCGTGAAGCAGGTGTTAGACTACACAGGGCTGTTGCTGAGAGCGGTATGATAGGTGTGGACATGCCAGGTGCTGAAAAGATGAAGCGTGTGATCCGTCTTGCGAGTATGGATCATGAATGGTGATGTTCAAATACGAGATGACAATTTTTTGGCCTGGATAATCGGTTTGTTATGATTGCGTGATTGTAGTAGTTGGGGGTTGTTTAGAATAGAGGTTTGTTTTCCTGTCATCTTGGCGTGTAAGTTGTTCACTTTTTCTGCCTAGACTAAAGATATAAACCGATGATAGCTCACATTCAGAAAACCACTTTATTTTTTATTTTTTTTGCAGAAGACTATAATCAACAGACAAAAACAGGCTACATAACTCGACTCTTCGCTATGCCAACGCTCAAAGAGTCAGAAAAGGAAACCCTCCCTCCTCCTTTCATCTCAACCTCCTCGGCCCCCCAAACACCTTCCCCCTCCTCTTCCCCTCCTCCTCCTCCTCACCCCTCCTAACCTCCCACCTGACCCTATTCCCCAAAATCTCAATCTGCCGCTCATACTCCCACCTAGGCGTGTCCGCGCCCCTCATGCCCACAAAGCGCGCAAACATGCGCATCTTGACCTTCAACCTCTCCAGCGCATCCAGCTTGCAATCCCCAGGAAGCTCCTCGCTCGTGTCGAGAAACGGGTGGCTCCAGTTCATGGTTGCCGGGTATGCGTGCCTGAGGTGGCATGCGCCTGCGGTTTGCGAGTAGTAGGCCGCCAGGGCGTCGAGTTGGCGCTCGGTGAGGAGGAAGAGGGAGAGGAGGGTTGGGGGGAAGTCGGGGGCTGGGAGCGCGGTTGAGGCGTGCACGATGGGGAAGATGGTGAGGCGCATTTGGGCGAGTTTCTGGGATAAGCTGGGGTTGTTGTTGTTGTTGCTTTTGTTGCGGGTTTTGAGGCGGTGGAGGCCAAGGGGTTGGTGGTAGTAGGATTTGGTGATGCCGTTTTTTGTGCTTGCCCGCCTGGGTTGGTTTGGTGCCTTGGTCTTTTTTTCTTGTTTGCTCATACTTTTTTTTTCCTCTTGCTGGTTTTAGGATATTTTTTCTCTCTTTCTTTCTTGTGGGTGGGAAACACGTGTGTAATACGTGGTGTAGAGCTTTCCGCCAGCGATATGCAGTGAGAGAGGATGGGGGTGCGTCTATAGTATACAAAGCCGGTTCAAACAAACAAAGCATGGAGTGGAAGAGAATGGGTATTATGGATATCTTGTTCTTTGTTGTAAGACACAGGCTTAAGACGCTGTTTTTTTTTCTGGCCAAATCATAGTGTGTTGTGAAAAGAAATATCTTTGTCTCACTTCGTCACGTGTTGATCGCATTCGAGGTTCGTAATGGAATATTGTTTCTACACGATGTCGCATATTCCATAAGAACGGCGATGGCTGAGGCGGGTTATGGGATTTTCGTCGCCGTTATATACACCGCGGCGTCCTGGTTGACGGCGCGATCTAGTCGTGTATTCTTATGTTCTGGATGCGGGTTGTGAAAAACTTTGTTGAACGGTCTTAGCAGGCGCCTCAAAGATGAATCTTGAGGAAGGATTCTGATCAAACAGTAGCGAGAAGACAATGTATCAAACATCGATGATGGCTTCTAGGGACACGTCACTGTCCACACCACCAATGGGCTCAGTGCTCTTCCAAAACTTGCTCAAGTGTCTTGCGCCACTGAATAATTGTTAGTACCATGTCGGTTTTCTGAGTGCTGTCTTACCTATCGCACAATATTGTGACGATACGATGGCCAGGTCCGAGACTCTGTGCGAGCTTCGCAGCAGCGACACCTTTGACACATCAGCGCTGCCTACGCTTAAGATGCTCAAAACTTACAGTTTACCGCACTAGAGCTTCCCACGAAGATTCCGTCATGCTCGACCAACCATCGCGCCATGGAAATGGCTTGTTCGTCAGTCACTCTGATTGCATCGTCAATCAATTCTCGCCCAATATCAAAGTTGTGGGTCACTCTGTTGATGCCGATGCCTTCAACTATCGTATCCACCTGATGGCGTCGCCGTGTTCCTTCACGCTCCTTGGGATCAAACATGACGCCATACTTGACACGGTTGAATAGACCACTGCCTGGGGGGTCGGCGAGGACCACTTTGAGATTAGGCAGCTTAGATTTTAGAAACATAGCGACACCAGAAATCGTTCCTCCTGTGCCAGCGCCACTAACAAAGGCATCCAGATGGCGACCGGTTTGTTCGTAGATCTCGGGTCCAGTACCCGTGAAGTGTGCGCGCCAATTTGCTTCTGTCTCGAACTGGTCGGCAAACAGGCCCCGTCCCGGCTTTTCAGCGCTGGCAGTGTGCTCTTCAGCCCGCGATCGTGCAAGATTGACGAATTGTTTCTGGTCTACAATAGGTGCTGGCCGTACTCTTTCTACCTCAGCACCGAGTTTTAGGAGTAAGTCTGATTTTTCGATTGCCATGTCGTTTGGCATGCAGCTTCTGGTTGTTAGCGAGTATTCTTGAATGCCATTCAACGAACTGACATGTGTGCTTTGTAGCCTCGTGCCCTGCATATTGCTGCTAATGAAATGCCCGTGCTTCCCACTGTGCCTTCGTATATGGTATCACCCGAGTTTGGGATAAGAAGCCCCTTTTGCTCAGCCTATTTGATGTTGAGCAAAAAAACATGAGATGGTTTTTAATCTCGAGTACTATTTACTAGCTTACCATTTCAATGATACTAAGCGCCACTCGGTCTTTGGGACTGTTACCAGCCCCATTAAGAAACTAAAAACTACACATCAGTGGGGTGTCTTCTGAAAAATATCGATTTGCATACCTCCGCTTTTGCTAGTATATCGCAGCCTGTGTATTCAGAAAGCGACTTGATCTTAATGAGGGGGGTGTTGCCAATGCATCCCTCGATACCCTCCTTGATAGATCCTGAACCATTTTCCAATGAACGCTCAATCTCTAAAAGGCCCTTCTTCAACTCTTCCAAGTCATTTACTTTTGCTAGTTGTAAGAGCAAATTTTGCTGTTGGGCAAGGAGTGAGTGGCTGTTTGCAGCATCATTTTTTCCTGCAGCCAGTCTTTTGTTATATGCAGCTATGGCGGCTATACCTAACAGAAAAGCCCCTAAAATGTAATATCTGGAGCGATCGGACATGGTTGGCGCATGGAAAGATGCAGACAGTCGAGTACTAGCAAAAGAGGGCCAGAAGCGGAGCTGTGGCATGCCCGTCTTGGCATCACCGCCCGCAAAGCTCACCCACGTGGGTCCACGCGAAGACTGCCAGCGCCTCCGACGCCGTCGCATACGAGTTGCGACGACTGTTCTGGTGCCAATGGACTCGCCGCTCGTCAACCGCCTCTTTCGCCAATTGTTCTCGCACCGGGCGTCGCAATGCCTGGCCCGCGGAGGTCGACCAGCGCTCGCTGCTGCCCGCATTCCACACCAACAAAGACGGACAAAAGCCACTCGGTTGGGTGAGGGCGAGACGCGAAGGGAAAGCAGATGGACACCAAGGAGAAATGCATTTCCGCATGAGAGAAGCGAAGAGTTCGAGAGATACCCAATGGTCACGTCGGATATGTTGCGGAATAGAAGGGAAAGACCGCGGCGAGTCAAGATGCTGCTACGAGACTTTATAGAGGGTAGGCAGTCTCTATACTGAGGGATTAGACATACTCACCCGTCTCTAGATAGCTTGTATAACCCAAACTACGGCTACTTCTCCAAACAAGTCGTCATCTTCTCGCCAGGTGACCCGTTCGACTTCAACTCCATGGGCTCCGAGCACGAATTCTTCCAGCAACTGCGGCATCGCTACACTGCCTTCGAAGATGAGCTGGATTACAGAGAGCCAAACGATCTACGACAACTATGGCATACCCCTACCGAGCTGTTCTCTCCATACTATGGAGAAGCAATTGCACGCTATCTCGTCGAAGACTACAAGTACAACTTCTATCCATATCACGACTTGAACATATACGAGATGGGCGCGGGAAATGGTACCATGATGCTGAACATACTCGACTTTATCAGGGATGTGCACCCCGAAGTGTATGAGCGGACAAAGTACAAAATTATCGAAATTTCCAGTCAACTTGCCGACTTGCAACAGAAGGGCCTGGGCCACTCGGCATACGCAAGAGGCCATGCGGACAAAGTGGAGATTGTCAACCGCAGCATCTTTGACTGGAACACCTATGTCTCCTCGCCCTGCTACTTCCTTGCGCTCGAGGTCTTTGACAATTTCGCCCACGATGCCCTAAAGTACGACTTTGAGACTGGCCTACCCTATCAGTCACACGTCGTCATAGATGCCCGAGGCGAACTCTTTGAGTACTATTCCCGTACCCTTGATCCTCTTGTAAGCCAGTTTCTGGAGCGAAGGCATGCTGCATGCTCGTCATATCAGCACCCGCTCCAAGGTTCACGGCTTATGCACAACTTGAGGAGCTTGATTCCATTCCGGTCAAACATGAGTGTGCCAGAGTACATACCCACAAGGCTGATGCAATTCTTCTACATGTTGTATGAAAAATTCCCAAATCACAAGTTGGTCAGCAGTGATTTCCATAAGCTAGGCGACGCGGTGGAAGGTATCAATGCTCCTGTTGTGCAGACTAGGTATAAGAGACAGATGATTCCCGTCTCTACGCCTCTTGTAAGTTGAAACACCTGTTGGGGTTCTGCACAGCATCTGTACTGACAGCACCTAGGTCCACCAAGGCTACTTTGACATTCTCTTTCCTACCGACTTCGAAGTCATGGAACCAATGTATACAGCTATCACAGGGCGGTTCGCACGCACCTACCTTCACGAGGACTTCATGGCTGGCAGAGCAGACATTGCGGAGACGACCACCAAGAATGGCGATAACCCGCTGTTGAGTTGGTACAAGAACGCAAGTGTCATGATTACCGTGTAGAGGCTCAAGTATGAGAGATGGGGCTGGTCAGGACGAGCATGTATGATTACAGATTCCAAGATACTAGTGCACTACTCGGGTTCTTGGTCTTTCCATCGATTCTTTACTGCATCAACATCCATTTCACACAGCTCAGCATGTTTCAGCACCGCATGCGCCTTCTTCACAACAGGTACATCGATCATCTTACCATCTAACGTCCATGCTCCTCGCCCCGCTTGACTGGCTTTCTCATCTGCGATGACTATCCTCGCAGCCCACTCGAGCTCTTTTTCTCCTGGGCTAAATGCCTTGTGACATACAGCAACCTGGCTTGGATGTATACATTGCTTGCCATTGAAGCCCATGCCCTTTCCATTCAGACACTCCTCCTCAAGTGTCTTCAATCCCTCTTCGCCCTTGTAGCTCGTGCAAACCAGATCAATCGTGCTAGGAAGTTCGGCCGCGCGTGCTGCCGTCGCAATCGCACTGCGTGCATATAAAAACTCTGTGAGAGACGGAGTGCGTGTGAGACTCATGTCCTTTGCAAAGTCCTCTGCTGCAAAGACAAGACCCGAGAGGTAGGGTGACGCTGCGCATATCGAGCTCAGGTTCTGCACGGCCTTTGCACTCTCAATCAATGCTATTATGCGCAATGGCTCCCGTTTTCCCTTCTGTCCTGTGCTTGGATGCCGTGCTGGACTGAGATGCCTTATCACGTCCGTCACAAAGTGTAAGTCCGCAGCGCTTTCGCATTTGGGCAGCATAATAGCATCCAGATACTCGCCCTTTAGCACCTCTGTCAAGTCATCCAGGGCAAGACCAGTGTCGACGCTGTTTATCCTCACACACATTTCTTTTATACCAGCAGGTCGCTGTTTGCTAAGGATGTCGCGAAGGTTGGAGCGAGCGGCGGGCTTCATGTGAGGCGCGACGCTGTCTTCGAGGTCGTATGTTACATTGTCGGCATGCATGGCGAATGACTTTTCCAGCATCTTCTTAGAGGATGCAGGGACTATGTTGCGACAAGTTAGTATAGAGATATCACATGGATGATGTAAAGGAGAGCGAGGGAGGGGACATACCATACATACACGCCCTCCGAATGATTGGCGCTGCCATTGTGACTCTAGACTCTCTACAAAGCAGACAATATTACTTGGAATGGTACGCCTGAAGCGCAAATAAAAGCAAAGCAATGCCAATGGCCGTTTACATAGCTCGGATGATCCCCAGACCCTATGATGTGCGGGGAACTACTGGAGCGCCCGCCGCCGCCGCACCGGCAGCTACTAGTCCAAACGCCGATGGCCGACGCGTCGCCCGCCCAGGGAAAGCCACGTGAAGCTCATCTTCACACATCTTGAAAGATCCCCACCCTACGAACAATTGTCCTCTGCCCGCGCGCGCACAAAAGCCGAGAGAGAAGAAAGAGAGAGGATAAAATGGAGACGGTACAACAAGAGCCAGCGCCCGGCTCCCTGAGCTGGAGACTCAGCAGCCATCCCATCACCCTGCTTACTTTCCTCTTCTTCCGCACATGTACGTACAATGCATACGTATCCGTATACAACAACAACAACCCGCCAAACCCGCACAATATACTAACTTCTTTCCAAAACAGCCTCCCTCGTAGTCTACCTCCTGGGCCTCCGCCTCCTCACTTCCAACTTCGTCCTCATCTTCATCATCACCATCCTGCTCCTCGCCATGGATTTCTACTACCTCAAAAACATTGCGGGTCGTCGCCTTGTTGGCCTGCGCTGGTGGAATGAAGTCGATGCTAGTACGGGCGATGGCCGCTGGGTGTTTGAGAGTTTGGATCAGGATACCAGTTCACGCCAGATCAATGCGACGGACAAGCGCTTCTTTTGGCTGGCGCTGTATGCGCAGCCTGTGCTGTGGGTTGTGCTGGCGATTGTTGCGCTGGTTAGCCTGGAGTTTATTTGGCTGACGCTTGTGGGTGAGTATACGACTATTTTCCCTTTGGTGTCTGGCGACAAGGAGGGTGGGTAGAGCGGGAGAGACAAAGCTAATGGTTATGATGCAGTTATCGCGCTCGTTCTTACGATTACGAATACCCTCGCTTTCTCGCGGTGCGACAAGTTTAGTCAGGCTTCGGGCTTCGCTTCAAATGCCATGTACGGATCCGGTCTTGCGCGGAATCTGGCGGGTGGAATGATTTCGAGTCTGTTCAGACGGTGATAACACACCATGTGGACAAGGTGCCATGGGTTTTCTTCCTCCTTTTCAAGCTTGCACAAAATCAGAAAGATGAGGATGACGTATAATTAGACGTGGAAAAAATGTCGGATTTTTTTTTTACTTGGAGTCTATTGCATACATACCCTATTATCGGTTCATCTTTAATTTAAATTTGATTGTTCTAACACACATCTTGACAGACTGGAGTCTCAAACACCCCCCCAACTCAATACCCCCTCTTCCGATTGACTTCGTTAATCAATTGACCACCACTTCTCTCATGCTTGATGTTTTCGACCAGCAACTGGAACACACGGTATACATACTTATCCGATCCTCCGCTGCAGTGCGGCGTAATGAGTACATTGGGCGCATCCCAGAGTGGGTCGTCCTCGGGTAACGGTTCAGGATCCGTCACATCTACCGCAGCGCCCTTGATTTGCTCAGTTTCCAGAGCGGTAATAAGAGCTTTTTGGTCGATAATCGGGCCGCGTGCAATATTGACAACGTAGGTCCCCTTGGGATTAGACTTGTGCAAGAGTTCGAATTCCGGCGTTGAAAGGAGGTGCGTAGTGTCTTTGCTATTTGGTCGTTAGCTTTCTAGATTTACCCATACTCTAAACATCATGGTTTGTACTTACGTCAACGGCACAGCTATGACTAGTAAATCAATCCCCTGCTTCAAAAACTCGTGGATATGTTCTTTCTCTGTTCCACTGAACCATGCACTGGGAATGCTGCCATCCGGATCGCCAGTGCCAGGCACAATGTACCCGTTGTCGTGCTTGGACTCTGGTGTGTTGCGCGGGGATGCCGTGTACGCTATTACATCCATGGCCATTGCTTTTGCTACGCGGGCAACTGTATAGCAGGAAGAAGGAACAAATGGTCAGTACACATTTAAAAAAAAACGTTACGCGAAAGGTAAAAGAACACTGGGCATACCTTGTCGGCCAATGCTTCCGTAACCCAAGATTCCAACTCTCTTGCCCACGCGATCGCTAACATTCATGCCGACGCTTTGATTCCAAACCTTCTTTTTCTGGTTTTCGTACAGCTTTGTGAAGCTATGGCTGTGCACCAGGTCCATCATGATGACCCACTCTGAGATTTGCGGGCCGTGAACGCCGTTGGCCGAGCATAGCGGGATCTTCGAGTCCGTGTAGATGGGGTGTTTGGCAGCGTAATTTATACCGGCTGAGGCGAATTGGATGAGCTTGACACATGGGATGGACGAGGCGTCGGGTGGGAGCCAGAAGAGGGTTACTAGGTAGCTTGCGCGCCGGAGAATTTCTGTGAAAATGGGTTAGTTTGGGGTAGTGAATGCCAGGGGCAAGGATGGCCTTGGACGGGTTGGAGAAAAAAAAAGGTAAATTTTGGTGTCATGCAGGGACTCTGTCAAATCCTTCCATATCAAACCATTCCTCCGGATCCAACCCGATCTCGAAAAGACAAGGCATAGTCGGAAATCGATTGAATCAACAGGATTTTGTATGGCACATTGCTGCTGTGTTTCTCTTTCTAACGTACCTTCAGGCACATCCAACGGTTCCATCTTTCCATTCGCATGCTTGGTATAATAATACGTGACTTCCACATTCCCAAACGCTTCTTTCAACTCTTGGATACCGACTGAAGCTTGATCCTCAGGCCATGGCAATGTACAAAGCACCAGTTCCTTTTCTTTTGACATGCCGTCACGTACGGGGATGTCTGGTCCGCCTCCCATCGCAACCATGCTAGCGTATATCCGAGGTACACAAGCAAAGAGTGAAAATGTAAGTTTGGTTTTGCCGGCTTTTTCCCCAACTCTTGTGAATTACGCAAACGTTGGAACCTGGAGAAAAGCTCTTGTATCGTGTCAGGTTGGAGGTTCGCAGTAATGACAACGACGATTGCGGTGGGGGAGAGAACGGTCCGATACGCGCAATGGTGGGGTGGCTGGCCTTTGGATCTAATCTAGTTGTGACGTTTGCTTAAGTCCGAAAGCCTCTAACGCCATAAGTAGCGGGATTACGGCTTGTTGCGGAGACATGCTGATTGTTTTTGTCAGCATTTGTTAGAATTAAAGTTGACGATGAGTAAGTGTAAGACATGCTCGAATATTCGATTGGTGTTGTGTTGTGCTGTGTTGTGCTACGAAGACGTATGGCTGATGGAAACGAGATGATGTATGTAGGGTTCTCGCTGTTTACTTGGTACCGTAAGACTGCAGATCTCGCTCTATGTGTGTTCCGGTGATTTGTACATCATAAAGATTCAACAGAGAAGAACCGCATTAATGTACGCAGATATGGATGGGATGAACTGCCCATGCAAGCAATTGTTAAACAGTTCTGCGGACAACCAGCACACATCAAGCCGACTCGCATAGGCCAGCGCAGAGGTCTAATGAATTATGATATACGTACATAGAGATCTGAAAAGCTTGTGCAAGATCTCCTATGCTTGAGTGTTCATCACGTGTCTTGAATCATGAGCATCTTGGCTTCGGCTTCATCTACTGTCTTTGCACCCCGCTGTAGAGTACACAGTAGACGCGCCGCATGCATAGCTTCTCTTCCACCCCTCTTGACATCATCACTACATCGCTTAAATGGGACGTATGCATGGCCACCTTGCAGCGATAAAGTATCCAATAGATATACCCAAGAGATGCAGGCGAAGTGGCCAACGTGCAGCCATAGAATGCCAAACTCTCTACATAAGTACCCAGCATGCACATGCAGGGGGCAGCGGGGTCTGAGACGTGTTTCCAAAGTTCCTTTGTCTGCTCCGCGTGGCACGACGAAGCCCTGTCTTCTATGGACCGGCAGTCGGGACCATGTCACTCCACCAAGATTTCGAATGATGGCCTGGCGAGCAAGAAGAGCATGGGTTTGCTTCTTGTCTTATCCTCACGTAAGCTCCATTGAAGACACTTGCGGTCGAATTAGGCAAAGTATGGAGTGTTCTTCACATTCCGTAGCGGCTCCTCTCCCCCCCAAGGATGTTCCCGCCTTCATCTCGCTTGCCCACGCGAGGAAAATAAACGAGCCTTCCACTGAGCCGCGCTGATGACAAGACGAGTCCCTCGAATCCCTTTCCTCCACAGCTGCACGCACACTCAGCGTAAGCCGCTTATCTGGTCCGCGGGCCAGAAACTCGTTCTTGCGAGTTCGTGCCGAGCATGCGTGCATATCCGGCTGGTGCTCCGCGCCAAGGCAGGTACCGGTCTTCGGTACAACCACAGGCAAGGAGCCGTTAGGGTGTGGATTTGCGCCCCCACAAAACGATTGCCAAAGGAATTACCTACTCTTTTCATAAGATACCTCCGCGTCTCTTTGCATCCAGTCACATGTCTTTCCGGTGAACCATGCTGTGGGAACTGGAGCCTTGCCCCACACACTTGTTGAGGAGGATGTGCCAAGGAAAAGAAGAGACGCTGGAATTTTGCCTCTTCTCACGTGAGGCAAGCAAAAGAAAACAGAAGAAGAAAGGTAAAACAAAGTGGAATTACTGCATGCCTGGCCAGACGGAGTGCGCAGATACGGCGTGACTGCAGTGCAGAGGCTCGCATGACATTGATAGCGACTACTACCATGCCTGTGGGTACCTGTTACTATTTCGTGATAGTCCGCCTACAAGATGCGGAAGCGGCCGAATGGCTGACCCGATTCAGTATAGATGCTCAGGAATAGCATGGCAGAGAATGAGGCGTCAGCACGGCAAAAAGGTTTGATATGTCGTGGTATGAAGAAGATCGACAAATGCCATCGTCTACATGTTTCCTCATTGGATGGGGTAGAGCCGAGACTTCTGACCGGATGAGAGAGTCAGTGACGAATGCGGCAGAGGGCCCCTGATGGCCGTGGGAACGCTAGGGCTTAGCTCTTAATTGCCACGTTTTTTCCTTGGCCCCTTTCTTTTCTTACTCGGCCATGTTCTTACGCGATGTTCCTAAGCGTACGCGATGTCCTGTCTACAGAGTAGATCGGCATTTCAAACGTGTCTCATTTAGCCATATTGCCGGGTATGTGGCTGGCCCCACATCTCCCAACGAACCTACTTGAGACGGTGTTTGGACCTTACCACGCCTTGTGCGTAAGTGGATAGTTCTTTGTCGGTCATGACAGAGAGGTCGTCTTCCGAGTTCTGTCCCGACTCGCTTCCTCAGTTTCACGAGTATTTTTAGTTTGAACATGGAAAGTTTTGCCTTGTAAATGGGTAATAGTCGATTTATTACTATAGCTTCGATGGGCTTGGGGGCTCTGCAACTAAGTTTTGGCTATATGCAATGACGGTCTTGAAACATAGGAAAGATCTCTGAAACAAGGCCCTAGGCCGAGCGCGCTGTAGAGCGGTACAAAAGTTGCTTGGCCACTTTACGCAGCAGCATAAAGGACCAAGTGCGAAAAGTCAAGGAAGGCCTGTGCTGCGTAATGCAGACACAGCCATCTGTGAAGGTGATTGGTGGAAGCGAATCCAAGCCATTGTCTATCGTGTACACTGTGTGTATTGGGGTATGCGAATTTCATGCGGCCATGGATAGGTAAGGAAACGTTTTAGTTGAGCATCGGACGCCGCCGACTGAATGGCGGCTGGTGCGAGGGCCAAGGGCCAGGACGAATGGCGCATAATGTTGTGCAACCAGTAGTGATATATGCTGGCACAGCGCTGCAGTCAAGCCAGCTTGTGATTGTGATCCATGTATCTCGCAGAGCGCATGGTGTTGGTTCGACAATCAGATGCAGATGCAGATGCATGTGAGAGGTATTCAACGTCCCCGCCGTGATATTGCAAGTCAATGTTGCGGTCGCGTGCGGTAGAATGGTGCGCGGCTAAATCTGACGGTAGAAACGACTGCGCCATGGAGGACCCTGTATGTGGAATTCCAGTACGAAAATCGGTTTGGAAAAGAGGAAAACAATAAATTTTACGCATTCATGATCAGATTTTAGAATCATAGTCGGGTGGATGTAGCCCAAGCCCTCCCCTTGCCATGGATGATCTAGGGTCCCAGTCCACATGAGTAGCTCGAGACTGGGTCCTTGGGATAGAGAAGCTGAGCGTTGGACTTTTGTATTCACGCTGAATGTCTTTGTGAAAGTGATCTGGTGTGTCGGACCGGGGATTGCTCATGACATAACTAGCAATCTCCGGGGTGATGTGTGCGTTAGGAGGTGATTGGTGGTTAAAGTTTTTGAGTTCGAAATGACGCATGTCTTCGGCCGGGTTCCTGGCATCCAGAGATACGAACTCGCGGTTTTTGCTGAATTTGCCCAAAATCAAGTCACGCCATCCAGTTACCATGCTCCATCGGACAAGTAACAGGAATGCTTGTATACCAGCAATTGAGAGCATCATCAAGACTGCAGTCACAGTGGACTGATCAATGGCGAGTTCTTGACCAAGAGGGAAGCATGGTGACGGATCGTCGGGGTTTTTCATCAAACACAGGATGAATGGGGCGAGGTCCGCAATGTTGTCGGCAGCGTGCTGAGTGATCGAGTTGAGCCAGATGAACACAATCGAGAAGAAAATGACGTCTACAAGGATAAAGACCACGATCGTAATGCCACGCCATTGGAGATAGAGCACTTTGCGTACACGTCGATAGACGGCTCGGGCAGACCGGTTCCGGATGCTGGTCGTATACGAGGGAAGTCCTGCGCTACTTTGAGTCTCGGTCTTGTCGTCACTAAACATGTTCTGAAGATAGACTTTGATGCAATACACGAATCTAGATATGCGTTAGCAAGACTGTTGTGTCAATTAGCATGAACAACTCACGTTGCAATCTGGATGACTGTCGCCGCTCCAGCAATGGCCAGCAAAGGGCCCCAGAAGTCTTTCATCGAGTGCTCAGCATTGACGTGGCAAACATCACCGAACCTGAACGAGACACCAGTGATGGTGATGGTGATAGTGAAGAAGGCAGCGGCAATGGACCAGCCCAAGCCTTGTGCACAGTAGAAGAACCTTTTGCCAGGGGTAACATCCCAACAAATCTGAAGGTGCATGGAGAGAGCACGAATGAAGATCCAAACCGCCATTGACAGACCACCAGAAATGAGAAACGCGCCCGAGAAAGCGCACGTCAGACTCGAGTACATATCATTGGGGGTAATTTCGTCGTAGCACTGTTCCGGTTGAGCTCCAAAGGGTATTACAAAGCCAAGCTGGTGACGATTAGTGGAAGACTTGAACCATGCGAGGTATACATACTGCCATGAATATCGCGGCGATGATGAGACAGTAGCTGAGATAATGCCGGCGCGTCTTTTCGGCTGGAAGGAAGATGTATGAAATTAACAAGAACACCAGACAGCAGAGCCCCACTACATTGAGCGCTTCAGCTACCTGGTAGGTAGTGTTGAAGCCTGGAGTCATTAGTAAGGTGAGCGAGCACTAGGGCATAGCCCATGAAGACGTACTCTCTGGATATAGAAAATCTGTCAGTGGGCATGGTAGACAGCAAACACCATTAGTCCCATAAGGCGCACAAAATCTTCCATCGACAACTGAGCCCGTCAGAATGCAGTCAGAAGAATGTGGTGGGATATGACCTACAGCCGCCAAATCCAAATTTTGACTGATCAAAGAAGGGCGGCGGGCAGTCGCCTCGAAGTGCCTCTATTGCTGTAGCGTTGTTGACCATTTCGGGTTCCTCGGACTCTTCCTACGACGAATGCGTCCAAAGTGTTGTGTACATGTGTGACGCAAATCTACCTGGCGGTATTCCAACTCGTGCCTGGGGGGATATCAAGTGGGCAGGATACGTGAGTGCCCGACGGCAATGGGTGTGCCGGAATTCGACTCTTGGATTTGCTTGGGTCTGCTACAGTTTATGCAGTGGTAGGGCGAGGCAGTGAAGGAGGTAGCGAGACTTGTGACAGCAGTTGCGGGACTCGAGTCCAATAAACGTCACCAGGCAAGAAACGAAACAAAAATGTGGAGTAAATACGTCGCGGATCACCTTGACGCCAGCAGTCTAAAGAGTGAATAAGGTTCTGGGGTCGATCAAGAGGCGCACGAGGCCAAAGCGAATGACAAAAAAACGAAAGACGGGACGTTATGGTAGATGTAGGGGAAAGCCGCTGCGGCATAAGTAAAACTGCACGATGCAGGACGACGCCCTGGGCTTGGGAGTGGCTCCTGGTTGGGCCGCCTGAGTATAGGTCCAGTGAGGGCGGCGATCCTGACGTGAACAGGCCACTTTCCCCTTGCAGAGTCTATTTGTTCCTGCACTCTAGCGCGGCCGGACCCTAGTGGATTTGTAGCCAAGGCAAGCAGGAGGTGTGCAAGGACAGCCGGGATTCGCACAAGAGGCGGGACTGGGGACAAGGATGTCACTGCCGGGCCCAGGCACCCGGCTGATATGCGCGCTGGTGTTGGCTCCAACGCGCCAGAGACAGCACGGCGAGCCATCACGTCTTTGGACTGCGCATGCAGCGTGATTCGCCCGCTCTCCAAAATGGCTGACCAGCCCGAAGGGTGGCGGCGTCCAAACGGCCAGTCGCGGGCGCCTACCAGAGATCAGTGCGGCGCGGTTCCTGTCAAAAGACGACGCACAAAAACTCGTCTCTTCAACACACCCCACGTCTTGATGAGCTATCCGAGCCCCTCATCCTGGCCGAGGCTGCGATAGGAACTGTCACTGGGCACTGCCACTGGGCACTGTCACTGAAGCAGGCCAATAGTGTGCAAAATGCATACAATGGCGCGCGAAGATCCCGGCGAAGCTGACTGTAGCGATCGGCAACAGTGAAGAAAAGCATATTTTACGACGTAGCACCCGTTGTGTTGCGCGCGTGGTGTGCCGCGTCACGAGACCGACTCCATTGTCGCTGTCGGCGCACCACCTGTCATTGACAGTCTCGGAGGACGGGTTTGAGTGGCCGGTGAAGGAGTGTCCAATCCCTGGCCGGTTCTTGTTGACGTCCAATGGCGGGCTTTCCGAGTCTTTGCCTGAACGATCCACTGCGCTCTCGGTGGGACCAGAGCCACTTCTCAGCTTGCTGTGGACCTAATAAGAATGTAGCATGCAGGAACAGACATGCAGGCCGCAGTTCGCAGTATCATCGACAGCACGTACACGACACAATTCTCCGGATCGACTGATGACTACCTAGCGTTCCAACCATCGATCCCGGGTGCGGAGGACCAACCTGTCATGTCGTGGCGGGAAGCGGGCGACGCAGTGAGCATCGCCGCTGTTCCTGCAACATCCGGCGTTTTCAAGCCCCTTTTGCCGCGTTAGCGCTGCGCCTTGTGGGCAGTGGAGAAGCCCAACAAACGCGTGCCGACGCGCAAGAATGCAGTTTTCGCTTTGGTCTGGCCATGGGCATCTTTTTGTGTCTTGATTTCAGGCCTGTGCGGCCATGGAGTCTGCTATGTAGTATGTCGTGACGTGGTGGTGGTGGTGGTGGCCAGGAAGGACCACGCCCGGACTCGCCAGCTTTGGCCATGGACGGCATGCACGTGCCTCATCTCGCTCGCCGTTTCCCCCCACCACCATCGCTCTCTTCACTCTTCGCCTGCAATGCGGCCACGCGTCTTGCATCTCCAGCATCCTCAACATCCCAAGCTTTCCAAGTTGCCCAATATACACATGTCTTAGCATTGGCCACGATCAATAAGTTTGAGATTTGCCTGCGAACACCTAGGAGGTTGCTTCCATCAGCAGCCGGATCGCCAATCTCGCGGGGACTGCCCTGGCCAGACTCTTGTTTGACAGAACTACCCATGCATGGATCACCCTGTCTTTCTCCCTCTCAACCACAACAGTGACATGAACGTGGGGTAGTAATAAGATCCCGGTACAACATCTAGACAGCCCAATGGACAAACCAAGTCTCAGTGCTCGACTACTTAGTTGCAGCAGCTCCTCCAACCGACCAACCCGCTATCCAAAAGATCTACTACCCCAACACTTGATCACTACTGTCTATCACCGAGAAATGTCACTCAGGTACCAACAGTTTGGTTCAGTACCACCCCAGTTCAATTGACCCGCCAACCCGTCTCTCAGCCTCGGGGCCAAAAGCGCTAGACGACTCTGATGTCCTTACCAGTTGCCGAAAAAAGAGACAGAACCTTCAGCAACCAGGATCCGACTGATGAATCTGCGCAAAACTCGCCCGTCTTTCGAAATAAGGAAGCACGCCCGAAATGCGCCATTCGCCTCGTGGCATCCTTCTAGAGTTTCTCATCATCGGTCCGACTCAGGGCATCCCGTCCCTAGCACAGGCATAGCCTGTTCTATAGTACCTTCTACCAACACAATGACTTTTGCAAAGTGCCTATGCGTTCAGCCCTTTCGCCAAATCATCGGCAGCCCACGGCACGCTGTCTTGAGACGGATCATCTTCTCTCTCCTAGCTTCCATTTACCCATGCATTGAAGACATGTTGCGCTAGAATCATCCACCAAAGTTTGCATGAACGCCCGGTTCGGGGAGGAATGAGCCGGTGTTCGCCATTAGCAAAACGCCACACCGTGTTACGACGACCATCACACCTACCGGCTCAGCTCCCGAGCAACTTCAGCTCAGCACCACAGCGGATGTGATCCACTCCATACGACGTTGTTATAGCATATATACATGTATACACACATGGATCAGTCTGCTATAGGCCCTCTAGTACATAGCAAAAAGTAAAATCGCTCCAACAGTCTGACAGCGGATATGGCGTTGGACGACGCGATTACGGCCCCCAAGGCGTGACCCGTCTTGATGATACCTTTGACTTCCACCACATCTCCACGTCATCTTGTAAACAAGCCGCAAAACGTCTACGTGGCGGAATCACCAACTCATCCATTTATCCATTATCGAAATTATGGAAAAAACTGTTAGGGCTCGTATACATTATGAGCAGGTTGCCTGATCTCGGCATAAGAAATTCCCAAAGGAAGTAGTATTGGTGGCGTTATACGGGTCCAGCCCCTCGTTCCCGAGGATTCGGTCACAACAAAGAGAGATTGACTAACAGTCTGGCCAAATCTGTTACGTGTATGTGGGGAAAAATATCCATCAGCCAAGACCATGCCAGCCAGCCGTTGCTCTTTAGGCTATACTTACACACAATCGCTGCCGTGTGCCGCAAAAAGCACAACATCCAATTAATAAACGTTACAGGTGCAGCAGTGTGCGTCACAATAACCTCCAACAGCTCAAACGCATGCCAAGCAAGAAATATTGTTAGCTTGTACGGGTTTTATTGGAGAGAGAGAGAAAGGAAAAGAGCTAGGCCCAAGGTATCCGGCTCAGTTCGCGATGATGCATATTCAAGATGCATCATGGAGCCCCCCTGTATCATCTCTGACGTCCCCTATCCATACTACCAATCACATCGATGCCAGTCCAGGGCATGTACAATAGTAGGTGGCATACCGTTACACAGGCTGAAGCAAGGATCAGAAAGGTACCGAGGCTGGTAGTTCTTGTAGGCTCGGGTATATAGCATCTTACGGGGAAAATTATTGGATGCGAAATGGATAAGATGGATAGTTTGTTGATGGGTAGATCGAACAAGCCTATCATATCATGCAATAGAGGCTTTAGTATAGGGTGAGCCTTCCCAAGATGACGAGAGTCTGGGCAAGTGATGCATCAAGAGTTGACAGCACAAGGGCATGTTGTAGTATGCCGAGGCTGTTGGCAGTGTTTTTGGTCAGGCAGAAGTGGTGCCCCTCTATGTATCTTGGCCCTCATGGCGGAATCTCAGTAGGTCCTTTAGTCTGTCTCAGCCAAGCGTAACTGACCGGTCGTGGGCGTTACAAAGAAGGCCATGACAAATCCTTCGTTAATATTAATCTTCGCATAGTAGGACAGTCAGCTAAGATGGATACCATGAATATTATTATCGGTAGCCGGAAGATTGCGCTCTTGTTGCTTTGGAGACGTGCCGGCCGGTGATGAGAATGCGATGAATTCCTGATCGAAACTGCATCAACGCATTGAATGATTTTCAGTCAACTACATCTGAGTCCTCATGCTATGCATCGAGTGCATATTTGTATGGCCTATGATTTAAAGCTGTTAGTATACATGGATGGGGTTGGTGTTTGGTGGATAGCCGCTAAATCGTGAATAAATCGTCGAAATTAGTTGCAGCGCTCAATGTACACCAGAGGACAGTTATTTCAACAAGAAATTGCGTCTGGGACAATGTAACATACTGAGAAGGAAAAGCTCAACAGATGTAATCCTGACGTATCGTTCTTAGGTAGGTGCGGAGGTAAAAAGGGAACGAGGGTAAGTGGGTAGTTCGTTTTAAGAAGAGGAATGGAAAAAGGAGAAGGCTACGTAAGTTTAGAGAAGGCTTTAAATGAGACTTGAGATGATGACTAATTTCTACTTGGTGCTGTATCATCTAGATTCAAGCAACATAGGTCTTCACAAAAAAAAGTAAAGAACGGCAAAAGCGACAAAAATGGCAACTGTAGACCGGGAATTAAATCCAGGAAAACCTTCTAGTTTCAAGATGTTGTCAGAGAACTCTATCTCTCTCTCAGTCTCTCTTCCGCCATCTCTTACTATGCTAGGCCTTCATAAACCAATCCCTCTACCTCCCCTACAAAGTCTACCCATGCGCCTTCGTTCCATGGATAGTAGCTCCCCCAAACAGTCACTACGACACCCTTCTCCCCATCGATCCACATATCGCAATTTGGCGCACCATACCAGTAGACGGTGCCCTTACTTCTTCCCTTCTTCCCATCTCTAAGTACTCTCTGTGCACCCTGGACACCACATCCCAGCCCATAGCTACCTTCAGGATCCAGATGAGGAGAAGACAAGTCAACCGGAAGTAGGATAGGAAGAGCACCTGAAACAGGAAGACTACGAGAATCATTGCGTAGATGCTCTGCAAGCTGAGGCTTTGATATTTCCGCCACCGACTCGGCAGAGAGAATACGATGTCCAGTTATCGGATCGACACCTTGGTTCTGCGGTAGCAAAGCAGCAACAAGATGCGTGTAGTCCCTTGCACTAGCCACCAGCCCTGTCCCCAAGCAACCCACGTGATGCTGCCCCTCAGGATACGCATCCGATCTCCTGACGACCTCTGGCTCCGCAGCATCCAGCGCGACCAAGCCATTTTCAGTCCTCATGTTTCTCGGCCAGAACTTACCCGCGTTCTCCGGCAGTGCTGTAACGGCGCCTCCGAATGCTGGCTCGAACCCGATTTCTTTGAGCTGGAGGGGATTGAAAATGTTTTCTTGGAGATAGTCGCCCAGCGGCTTCTTGGTGATGCGCTCGATGAGCACGGCAATCCAGTCTAGGCCTTGTCCGTAGTTTGTGTGCGTGCCTGGTTGCCAGAGTAGAGGGCTTGCGAGAAGTATGCCGTATGGGTCGTTGGCTTCGTTTGCCTTTTCCCAGGTTCCCTCGCCGAGATCGCGGACGTAGGACAAGAGTAGTTGATTGAAGTAAGTGTGGCCCCCGCCATACGTATGGTTTAGTAGCATTCGAGCTGTGATACTGCTCTTTTGTTCTTCAAGTTGCCACTGCTTCTTCCCCGTCTTGGTATCTACGGTGTAGCCGGTCAAGACTTGCTTCGAAGTGAGTTCTGGGAGAAAGGTGCTGATGGTTGCGGAGTCATCCAGGGTGGCCAGACCTTGCTCAACAAGCTGCATGTATGCTATTGCACCAATGATCTTTGTAAGGGATTGGATGATAGCTATTGATTCTGACGTAGGAGGTTTGGATTGACTGGAGCCATGAGAGAACAGAACATTGTTTTGGGCGTCGACTACATGAACTAGAGCAGACGGCAGTGACAACTTGCCTGATGTCGTTTGTGTAGCATTGTCAATGTGCTTTTTCAGCGCTCTGGTAGTCTCTTGGGTAACGGTTGGAAGGCTCATGGTGAATGATGAGTGCGAGATGCGAATGCGAGAGGCACCAAATGGTACACTTCTATGTGCGGCTGCTTTATAAATTTAGATTCTCAAACGTCACCTAATGACCATTACTAACATGCTGATGTTGCAGTCACCAAAAGCGCAAACTGGATCTCGCTCGCCGAATAAAGTAACCTACTCTAGAAGACCAAACTAACGCAGAGAAGAGAAGATTTACTCGAGTCAATAGATTCACAGAGTCGCACGTGGGGCAATTGCTTACTTCAGCAGACACTTGCTGCATACCCAGACCAAAGAGGACAGTCGCCAGGCAGTGTGCTGCATAGTTAGTAAGCGCGCTATGCAGTCAGCAATTCGGAAAAATGGATCTGGCAATAATAAAGGATTGCAGTCTTCCAGTGAAACCAAGTGTTCTTGTGCGTACTACACCAAGCCATAGCAACTACACCATCTTGTAAGTTTAGTGTATAAACAGTTTTGCTTCGATTCTGTACTCCAATGCGAGAATACCAGACGTTTCAAGTGAATGCTCCTGGGACACGCGAAACCCCACAGTAACCCCACGGTGCATTTGTCATCTTAATCATCATCATCACCACCATCAATAGATATCTTCCCATTTTCCCCACATGATTTCATGCTTGTATTTGTCCATAAGTTGGCCTGTAGGGTCGTCGCCCTCTACATGTGCCCACGCGCCCGCGAAATGCAGGATGAATTTGCCCGGCTCCCACTGACCATGCTCATCCTCGTAGCATTTGATCTCATCGGGAAAGGCGTTCAATTTCGATTGAGGCGCGACGATAAACCTCTTTGAGTATGGCTCCTCCTTCATGACACGCACCAGGGCGTCCTGCTCACTATAGTCTTTGCCCTCGTCGGTGTGGCGGAGATCAAGCGCACGGCGGATGAATTCGAGAGATCGGTCGTGTGCGCGAACTAGAAAGGATCCTAGATTGAGGCCGTTGCAATCGTTGGTGAAGATATAATCAACGTTGTCAGCATGCTCGACATTCTGCAGCTCGTCGTCGATTATGTTGGCAACATTGACATTGGTGTTGGTGATGAGTGTGTCGAAGTCGAGCCACCATATCCAGTCATACTTTGCGGACTTGACCAGCCTTTCGATCATGTCGAACTTCCAATAGACAGGGTTTCCAGTTTCGCTGTGCTGTTCGTAGTCGATGACGAGGTCATAGCCGTGGCGGCGGGAGTAGTCTGAGTAGGAAGCATATCAGCATGCCGCTTTTGGGTAATAGCTTGACCAAGCTTACGATCTTTGTTCCTTAGCGAGAGGTAGAGGTATGATCTCTGCTCGGTGACGAAGGTTACGAGGGCTAATCGAGGCGGTTTCTTCTCCTCTCCGTGTGGCTTCTGCTCGGGTTCGACAGGAGCGGGGGGAGGAGGCGGAGGAGGTGATGACGGCAACGGACGTTCCTCGTGTCTCATTCCTTGATTGAGTTCCCAGCCTAAGAAGGCCAGGAAGGCGAGCAGAAGTACGAGCGATGGCGGCAGCCTCCTTGCCGACCGGACGAGCATGATTGCAACAGAGTGTCGAATTGAAGAAGGCGCTTGATTGGCACGGGAGTAGAATGCCTTCACCTTGAAATGAGCATGAGCATGAGCAGCACCGAAGATGGCACAGTAGTTGTGGCAACTGAAGGTGTGAGGGATGGAAGCCATCCATGGTGGAGATTAGAGGTTGGGCATGGAAAAGGAGACATGGTGGATTCACGTCAGGGACTCAGCCGCAGACAGGGTGGCGCAACGTCGCACAGCATATTCTGGACCAGGCGGATGGCGATAACGCTGGCTGGAGCAACAAAAGCGACAATGGGCAAAGAAGTCACAGATGCGAACATCCGACGCCAGTCCAGATGGGCAGTCGAGCCTATACGAATTGCCCGTATCGAGTAAAGTGGACCGGAACAATGCGGTAAGATTCGCGCTAGACCCCAGCAGCCGCTCTACTCCACTCTTCTTTCCCCTCGCCGTGATGACGACGACGACGACGACATGATCAATGTTATCATCGAGACTGGTCCCAATCCGTCATGTCTAGTTCTCGGGGTGCGCACAAAGGACTCTTCATCGACGGCGTCTGGCACTGTATGATGGCCGATACCCAAGCCACCTAGGGCCGTCTGCTCACGTGCAATCAGGTGACTGCAGTCCGCGACTGCCCACAGTGCATCTACAAACCTCAAAACCAGGCCCGAATCATGGGAGATGGTGTATGATATGCCCTTCATCCCCAAACACCCTGGGGCACGATTCTTACTAGCTTCATCTAGTTCGCACCTGTAATAAACCTCCACGAGAACAATGCAAGTTCTTCCTATGGGATGACGATGCCCGTACACGAGAGGATGAAGCCGTCGCAAATACAGCTGCCATTCTCACTTCAGGGCATAAGCGCAAACGCTCCGTCAGTGGAAATCTAGACAAGTATCACTCTTCAAAAGCTCCAGACGACCATGATCTGGGTGAAGCCATGTCGCATCTGGAAACGCCTGGCAAGGCTGCCAAGACAACAACCTTCAGCACTCCCGCCACCAGAAGATCCAATCTCCCTTGGGACGAAAGCCAAAGCAGCGACACAGCAGTTTTTGGACTGCAAACACCTCATACGGGACGGAAGGCCAAGGGAGATCCGTTTATTTCAAGACCTTCAGCAGCAGCTAGCCCTTTCCCCTCTTCTGCAGCCAGCCAAGAAAGCATTCGTCGAGTTGCAACATCCTACTCAACACCCTATACTTCTATTGATGAAACACCAAAGACAAGTCGTTTCAAGAATTCAATGGATCGAGACCTAGTCGGCGATGTTTTTGGTCTGTTGCAAGATTCCAAAGTCGGCTTACCTGTCCATACTGAAGAGGAGCTTAGAGCCTTGTTAACAAGACACGCAAAGCGTACAGAAGGGTTTAAGAGAGCACGAGACGTGACCCGCCTTGCTGTCAAGGCAAAGGACGCCAAGATCACCGAATTCACGTACCGGATAGGTACCCTTGAGGCCGAATTGGAGGCGGAGAAGGCCATGGTGACGCATCTACAATGGGAGGCCCAGAACCAGACTTCAGATATCGACTAGATTGCTCTCTACACAACAATCAGGAAAAAGTCCAATGAGAATACCGGAACGTCACGCTTTCCCACGCACCGATTGTGTAGCGCGCAACAGTTGACGTCGATCTGAATCAGTGCATGCATTAGAAGATTATACATTGTGGCATCATCCTGTCACATCTTGATACTATGTCTTAGTAGGCTGCTGTCTCCAAAGCCGATGGACTGGGTTCATCACTTAATTCCTTCCTACATGTTGGTGATGCTTGTATCGCACTGATGCGCCTGGCAGAAGTATTGGCGACTGACGTGTTGCTACACAATGGCTTAGCCATTCCTGTAGGACGAAAGCAAGTGCAATCTGATTATACATAGCCACCTCCACCATGCTCCCGCAGATCTTTGGCTCTCACGCGCCTGTCTACGCTGCAGTGGAAATCAATGGCTCAGTCGAGGGCTGGGCTATGAAGCTGTAAGAACGCGTGTGCACGACTCCTTGTCCAAGGCGGACATTTCCGATGGTATTAGAATGGCATTCGCATGCTTCATGGTCAAAGGCAATGACTAGGGTCCCGTCATGTTCGCACCACAAGCTCTCGCGTTACAATAGGCAAGTGGGTATGTTGGAGGAGATGAGATCGTTCATGGTATCTGGGATTTGCTTTGATTTTCCCGCTTCTTACTAATGCGCCACGGACGCAATGCACTGTACTACAGCGGGGTATGCATACATATGTAGGCACTGTAACTGCATGTCCGGATCCCCAAAGTGTTTTCCGATTGTTCGAAAACTATCGACCAGTAAACAACGGTGAGCCAGAGACTTTTGAGTAGATCTCAGTAGGGACTGTCAAGAAACGTGGGCTTATAACATTTTCTTTTTGAAGAGTTTGACAACATATAAAATTTGGAGCACGGCCATTGCAACTGTTGATTGATATCATCAACCTCAACATTCTCATTTGAGCCTCTTCTTCACAAGCCAGAACTTCGCCTAGTTCAGCAACTCTTCTTCTCAACTGCGTTCGCACAATGGAATCCACACACCAGAAACCCGGTATGCTACTCGTGCACCCACGTTTAATTCACAAGGGCGGACTTTATAGCTCGGAATTCTGTCGGTGGACGAAACTGCATTTCAGAGACATGCTCAAAATGTCCTCGGACAAACATTCAGACGGCAAAGTCACTTCTTGTTTGCGGTTCATCAGATCCAACGAGGGACAAGGTTATGGGCACGACCCGGAAGGAGACACAAAACCAATGTTTGTGTACGTATGTCTTGTTGACAACTTGGACGTCTTTAAGAGTAAGGCATACGACGATTTGAGCAGGGTTTTGAATTTGGAAAATACGAGGGAGCTCAACCAGGATGAATACCCAGTAAACTACAGTGGAAATTTGGGTAACGAGGCAACAGTGTTCGACATTGTTAGTGCCAGGTTCGCCGTCTACGAAGATATTTCACTGGGACGTGAAGAGTCGTTTCAGGACTTGCCTCGGGATTTGCTGTCTCCCTCGGGCGCTAAGCATGAGACACTCTCGACCTACCTGATTGCAGTAAATGTCGGACTCGATAAGGACGCTCGAGAAGAAATGGTGAGAATATCCTGGATGCTGTGGGGAACCCTCAGGAAATTTCTTCCCGCTTTCATCAAAACATACCCATCGCTCTACCGCTGGAAGGGCAAGGAGGCTCAGCCAAAGGATCACCCACTCACCGACGCTGAAAAGAATGCTGGGTGGATGTTGATGATTTGCGTATCTGGTGTGACAGATCCTATTTCTGACACTGCAGAGGGGTTTCCCAAAGCTAAACTCGAGCAGGCGGTTAAGTGGCTCGGAGTCACTGTCGATTGCAAGTTGGGGGAGATGCTAGGATATGATGTGCCGCGAAGCTATGGGATGTGGGAAGGGGACGTTTTGATGCGTTAGGGAGAACCATGATTGGAACCGAAGGGAAATGACTCAAGGGATCAGCAAAAGGCACTTCATGCTTAGCTGTGCCTTTCGTATAGCATCGGACAAACTTCAACCTTTGACTTATAGTTGCCTTGTACATTGCGAGATTGTGTCTTTGGTCGTTGGCAACTAGCAATCCGGCTTTGCTAGGCCAGCTCATGAACTTGGCATCAGGGTCAAATTTCCTGGCCGAGGATTTTGCAGTATGAGCTCGTGTAAAGAAGGAAAAATGATTGTCAATGACGCTTATGAGCGACTCCTAAAGATAGTATGATCTGTACAACAAGCAACTGACACAAACCATCTAGCAGAGGCTACTATTTTCAGCAATCACAACATTCGATCCACTGTATTCGAAAACGTTTTATAGCAAGTCTATACTAGGTTTTGGTGGAGCGGCCACATTAGTTCCCCGTCGGTACGTAACAAGAGTGCTATTTGGCCTTTTTCGCGGGAGAAGAAGGGGTTGGTGCGGGTTGACGTACACGGTCACCGGTACCGCGTTCCAGCGAATCCCCGGCCTGCGCACGTGCGCCACAATTCCCGTGTAACAACAGAGTCTTCCCATGGCTTGGGTCGTATTCGGCTAGTACCTGTTGTCCCATACATGAAGTATGGCAGATGAGACTTCAGCGAAGAACAAGGGTCATGGTAATGTGTCGATGGCAATTGCAGCTAAGCATTGGCAACCCGGAAGACGGCAAAAAAGTGCGCCATGATTTGTTGGAAACATTCCACTCATCCAGTGTGACGTACGCCAGGAACGCAGCCGATAGACAGTGATCCACTTCTCCCAGCGGAAGCTTGGCGACCCACGATGGCCTCCACCCAACTCCCACAGAAAGGTGTTCATCTAAGGAGTCGCATGATCGTTACCGCCACATGGATCCATCATGCAGAAAGAGCTTGTTTTGCCTGGTAACAATCGTCTGTGGCGTTGCAAACGGTGTTCCTATGACAGAATACCATAGGTCCGTTCCACAGTTTGAACCTACACATGGGATTCTTGGCACCTCGCACGCCTCGAGCCAAAAGAATTGAACTGAACCGAGTGATCCACTGGATACCTATCCGAAGCTCTACTATCACTCTTCTTGGCGGACGTAGTGAGGTCCACGCCCTGGGCGAGATACAAAACTGACCCACTCCGCTGCAGTGAGACTGATGAAATCCACCCTTGTTTAGAAGTTCGAAAAAAACAAACGAACACTACAACCAGTGCGATCACATTCTCGTGACATATCGTTTTATGAGGGACAACCACTTATCCATCCATCTCAGTATATAGCAGGCCGCTCTGCAACACGGCTATGCAAACCCTGCGAAAGATCGGCGACTACATCGCGCCTCCTGCTGCGAAGAGTGAGGATGGGCGTGACCAGTGGCCGTCGCGGGCAGCCTTTCTACTTGCTGCCATGGGGGGGTGTGCCGGACAAGGAAACCTGCTCAGATATCCTAGTGTTTTGTATAACAACTATGGACTCCAGTGGTTCATCCCATATCTCTTGGCCGTGTTTCTCATCGCCATTCCTGCCCTTATCTTAGAAGTCTCGATTGGACAAGCGTACCGCGGAGGAACTGTCATCGCATGTAAGACTATACCACGAGGGACTTGTACAGGATATAGGCTGACGTAGTTTACCACCTCTAGTCAATAATGTACATCGCCGGCTGAAGGGTGTAGGTATGGGGCCGGTCATTGTCAGCTTCCTCGTCGTGCAATACTTTACTGTCAACTTAGCATGGATCATGCAGTACTTCCGCCACAGCTTCACTAGCCCCTTACCATGGGAAAACCGTATTGAAGAATTCTACTACCAAGACGTACTTCAACGTGGGGACATCAACGAAGGAAACCTGAGCGCTGATGGGAGTTCAGTAGCCCGGTTCACGGGCTACCCCAACGGAGCGCTTATTGGCGAAACAGTCGCATGGAGCATTTTTGTTTGGTTCCTCATCTGGATTTCCATCTTCCGCGGTGTTGGAATGACAGGACGAGTCGTCTACTTCACCATGGGATTGCCAATTGTTACCACCATCATCTTCGTTGGAAGAGCATTGTCACTCGAAAATGCAAGAGAAGGCGTTGACCTTGTGTGGAGGACATGGAGGAGCGATCAGCTCGCTTCGGGTTCTGTTTGGCAAACTGCCGTCGGCCAAGTATTCTTTTCGACTGGGATCGGCTTTGGATACTTCACTTCGTACGCCAGCTACAACACCAAACACTCCAACGCTGTCATGGACGCATGTCTTATCTGTGGGAGTAACGTTTTGTTCGAGAACTTTGCCGCATTCGCCATCTTTGGTGTTGTTGGCTTCCTCCGCAGATGGCCACAGGACGGTGAGAGACTCGGCGCATTTGTTGTCGGATTTCTCACCTTACCCGAAGCTGTACTCCAGATGCCTGGAGCTAATTTCTGGGCAGTGCTCTTGTTCTTCACACTTGTGGTCCTTGGATTCAGTTCGGCTTTTGTTATGTTGGATGTTGTAGTCACCCTTATTTGCGACTCTGGTATCGTCAAGGCGTCACGACCTGTTGTCGTCACCGTACTTACTATTCTTTGCTTTCTCATGTAAGTGTATTCCATTGTTGTTTTCAACAAGGGAGATTTTCTTTCTCCCACATCAGCCAGATCTCACGAATGCCGACTAACCTATCCTCTCCAATTACAGGTGTCTGCCATACTGTACTGAGTTTGGATACTATCTGCTCGATGGCATTGATCGATGGATAAACAACGTTGCCCTCATCTTCGTTGTGTGGAGCGAAGTCTCCAGCGCTACTACTGTATATCGATGGAAAGACATCGTCCACCAAACTGGGCTTCCTGCTTTCGTGGTCTACAATGTAGGCTTTCTTGGTGCTCAGGTGCTTGGCATCAGCCTAGCCCATGGAATCAATAGTCCAGGTATTGGAGCAGGCACCGGTATTGGCTTTTACTGTCTCATGGCTATCGTTGCTGTCACAATAGCACGAAATCCTGACGTAGATGCGCCTTCATTCTGGAACAGTGCTGGCCTTTTTAGGAAGTTTTGGTATCTCGCATTTTATTCAGTAAGTAATACATAGGCCTGCGGCGCTTTTTTTTTAAAAGAGAGACTGACTCAAAATCTAGGGCAATCAGCTACGCCGTGACCTGAACGTGATTGTTGGGCGGGGCAAGAATTGGAAGATCCCTGCATTCATGCCTGTCTTGCTCCGTTATCTTAGTGGTCCTGTCCTCGCCATAATACTCTCTTTCGCCTTCCCAGAGTTTCACACTCTTCGCTACGATCCTATGATGATTGCTGGGTTTATATTTTCTATCCTGACTGTTATAGTCATCCTGCTCGGCTTGGTAATGCCTCGATACTACGATGCATTCATCCCTGTATACCGGCGATCCGAGGGTACTGAGCCAACAATGCCGATGCAAATCAAGGGCGAATTAGGTGGGAAACCAGCAACAGAGACGATAGTTGCGGAAGATGGCCATGGAAGTGTAATAAGGGACTTGTCTCTCGAACAAGAAACGGGTGGTGAGAAGCAGATCAAGACAGCAAACCTGACATGATGAACTGGAAGTTTAGCCTGAGGGTTTGGGTGTTCTGTTATCAAGTAGATACAGTATTTGTCGCCATCGGTGATTGGGGTTAAGTCAGCTTTCGTATGGCGTTAATGCTTTAATTGACCACACATTGTTGGGTATAGCTTTCACAGGACTGCCAACAACTGCTTCCTTCCATGTTAAGCCCATATATTAAGCTGGACTAGAGCGATATTAGTTCAGTTCTCTTAACGATACTTACTAGATAAGACCTTCTATTCCTAAGTATGCCACCTGTTTCAGTCGACGTTAAAGATAATTATGGCAGAAATATGGAGGTGCTGAGAACATACTAAGTTTGTGTGATAATTATAATTTTTTTTAACATTGTCGTTTAGTTCTACTGTGCTCATGGACAACGAGCCTAGGTCTGTAACATGATCTAGACAATCTAGCGCACCGGGTCAAGAGGGACAGAACAGATAACGAGGAAATGAACTTTTACCCGAACGTGAGGACATCTTGAATGCTATCTGAATATCTCAGCTTCAAGTTTACACATTCCCCTGCTATCCTGGTAGATCCTCACCTCTTCCAGCTTGCGCAACTAGCAGTGAGACTCTGAAGATGATTTAATGTGATGGTCTCTTGAGTCTACACACAAGTAGCCTTGCGAGAAATGAGAGAGTGATTCGCATTATGGTAGCGGGATATCCTAATGATAAAATTCCGGAAGAAGAGTGGCTGTAGAGAGAAGAAAGAGCTGTATTAGCATAGGGGAACCTACATCGTTGGTTGCCATAGTGGAAAGCGCCATTAAATTCACCGCCTTGCCCGCATTCATCCTCGTTAGACACCGTGCATAGTTAATATCAAGCTCTCAAAGCAATTACGGCTTTAGCGTCATACTAAGATTGGTCCCAATAGGGCTTAGTGCATGAAGAATTGCGATCTAATTTGGACTTATTCGGCCCTCCGTTTCATGTCTCCGGTAATTGATCTTTATAGGTTTGAAAATTCCATAGGGGCGACTGACTTGCTTCTTTCAATATTGAGATAGAAGACGTAGGGATTCAGCTTCATTCCGTGACCAGATTTCCCTTACGTGGCGGCCACGTATTCGTCAATTTGTAAGATGGGCTGGTAAAACTAGCAACAAAACGGAGATTTTGGCTATGTAAGGGCTGGTCAGTTACCCCTAGCCGTAACGCTAACTAGTACTAATAATGGTTGGAGCTCTAACTTATAACAACCTAAAAACGTAAATGGAAAACGACCCAAAACAGGAGCCGGAGAATAGAACAACTCAATCGCCTCCGTTAGTTTGAGTTGGAAAATGAAGGTCTGCCAAATGGTGCCTTGGCGCTTACCTAGTACCCGAAGCTTCCGTGATTGCTTTACGAAATAATCAAAGTTGTGCAGCACACCTAGCTCATGTCAAGTTTTAACACATAGCTTATTACATTATCGCTATCGTGTACGAAACGCCTCATTCGATATAGATCTAATCACAGATCTACAGATCGCTTTACTCACACGTATGCACGGGTAAGCGGTCGGTATTTCGCGAATGTCCGAGCGTAGTAGTATTGTCCATTCGAGCGCTAGTCCGCCCGTCCGGGGATTCCCGACGTTGGCATGACTACATATACGAGCTCTATGATTAGACCAATATACTATGTAAGCGCCATCTATCAAAGTACTTAGACTTGGTGCTTTTTTTATTAGAATAAGCAGTAGTGACAGCTCTGACCATCGGGTATTCTTCACGATCAAGGAATGACTAGTAGAGGACTGACATGCGGGGTTAACAAATGCGACAGGGTAAAGTTCAAAGTGCATCAGATGTCAGATGCGATCAATATATGCTGTCAAATATGACGAAAAGCAAGCCACAAGACAGCGAAATCGACGAGTTTCTTGCATGATTGCTATATACATCCAAACATCGTCGCGCATAACAATGTCCATTTCTCCAACTTTCGTTCAAAGAACGTCCAGACACTTAGATTGGGGCTTGCTGCAACCGAGACGTATAGCGATGAATGGTCTCGCCAAGATCTTGTGTCTGGGAATCAGCCGGCCAGAACAGTATTCGGTCCGCCTTGAAATCTAGCCAGGAAGTGAATAGTGTTTGGTAAGTTTTGCCAAAATGGCTGTAGCTCAGATTTTATTCTAAAAGCCTTTGGGTATATAAGGGTTCATATGCTACGATATATTTCAACTATACAGTACACATCACTTTCCAGCATCCCAACTAGCCCTAACAGTGTCCTTAATACACAACAATACTGCTGCGATGCATCTGCCTACGCTTTCCATACTACTTGCCGCATGTGCTTCCGTTGTTAGCGCTCAGGCAACCGTACCAGGCCTTGGATGTGTTTGTATGGTATGTTGAAGCCTGCAGATACCATGACAATATAATAACGATTATAGGCGCCAACCGATTCAGGGAAAGATCAATCGATAGCCGACCGAACCATTCGTTGCTGTACTGATAATTCAGGTGAGTGAACGCAGTAAAACAAGCAGCGGTTCTTTAAGTAATGCATTTGAACATCATTTCTAACGGTATACAGGAACTATGATCAATACTGTTAATTTCTGGGATCGCGGCAACTTCTACTGCCGTGTCCCGGACTCTGTTACTCCGGCCATTTGGGATCAGGATTGCTGCCGTAAGTGGTATGGAAGTGGAACTTACGGATACTGCAATTCATCCACTTGATAAACTAGAGTGGCACACACGGAAATGCTGAGCTTGTTGTATCCTCTTTACGCTGAGGAGGAAAAGTCAAACTTTTAAAAAATTGAACGCGCATTAGCTAGCCTTTCAATGACATGTCGACTTCTTCACAATTTTCAGCGTTTATCCTTGAGTTTGACACCTGCGCTTGGACCAATCACAAATACTGAGATGTTCGCCTGGCATATTATCAGCTTATGATAACGGATATCCTTGGATTAGGAGATAGCAAACGAGAAGAAAGTAGCTACTACTTTATCACCTTATCCCAGTTCGCACAATACGACTAAGTGCAGTACAAGGTTTTTTAAGGTCAAATTTTTTAGCTTTTCCTTGTATTAAAGCTTTTGGTTGAGGTTGAGCAGGTGAATAGTATGAAGCAAGCAGTGGTAAATGTAGGCCTTGAACAGGCGCCATATTGTAGAAAATCCAGGTGAACGATTGAATAGACGCCCTTTGCTTCTCGAATGTGCTTGGTGTGCTGGTATGCAAGCAGCACTACAATAGCGGCATCAATAGTAACAAACACGTCCTTGGTTGAGCAGATGATACAGGGTTTTACAAGAAAATGAAAAGTTCAGGAGTTCGCGCACTGTAGAAAAAGATTCCCGAAGTCAATAAATGGTAGTATAGTATAGATTTGTAAAAGATAGAAGCTAAATTTGAGTGCATGGCATATATCTTCGTACAGCTCCCGAAAGGTCCATTCAGGTTTAGTCATGCCATACGTCCTTTTCTATGAACTTGTTTTGCTGAGATCGCTTTGACTTATTTTTCTTCCATATGGGTCATGCAGCGCATCCCATTCGCTGATCTGGTCGTACGGTATCTTCACAAGCACGTGTGTTTGCGCTCCATCTCCAAGATCCAGAACCTCTTGGCGCACCTTGTAGCCTCGAAGCTTAGGCAGCCAAATGATCCAAACGTAGTAATACAACCCGCAAATGATGAGGATGCTAATCCCAACCACGATGTAAGTACCGTACCAGAAGCTGACGTCTCCACCTTTCGCCCCGCCAGTTGGTGGATACCAAGGCATGATGATTAGGTAGAGTTGAACCAAAATATTGAAAATGAGTACGACGTTCCAAACACGGAAGGATGGTGGCGGCAGTCCAAGGCGATTGCGGCGAAACCGTAGCACATAGAGCCCAACGGCCATGAGCAGACTGAAACAGGCTGAGGGATACACCTGAAGGTCGGTGATGAATGAGAAAGCATCACCTGCTGGCACTGCAAGGATGATGAGAATTGTAAGCGCCCATTTCGTGAAGTATGGTCCTATTGGGGTACCGAATGGTTTTGTGGATGCCCAGAACTGTGGCCAGGGAAGTACGCCTTGTCGACCACATTCTCTAATTAATCGCGAGGAGCCTAGAAGAACGGCGATAAGATTGCCGAATGAGCTCAGTGCTATGAGAAAGTTGAGGCCGCGGACAGCACCGTGGTCTCCAAAAACTTTGGTGAATAGAATACCGGCAGCGATTGTTTTGCCTGCTAAGATTTCTTCCTTGGGGATGGCAGCAAAATAAGCCACGTTTGCCAAGATGTACAAGATGGCAACGATTACTACTGCGCCAAATCCATTGTTCCTGATGCTCTTGATGGGGTTCTTGACCTCGTTGACCACATTGAATGCATTTTCATATCCAGCATCTGTGTCATTTGTAAGTAAGCATCGCTGTTCAGATCCCTATAATCACTTACATGCAAAAATGATCTTGTACATGGCGTTCGTGACACCATATCCCGATGGACTACCGTCAAAAGCGTTGCGAAACCCGGCTGAAGGGTTCTTGACCTTAGTGTGTCCACCCAGCACAACCAACCCTATGATAGCGATGAACACTAGTGTTATCACTTTGATTGCTCCAATTACATTGCTAATCCAGTAGGATGCTCTGGTATGGAACAGGACTACCAATACAGCAGCCGTATAGGAGGCGACCGCAAGCCCCTTAGTTTCCCACGGCTTGGCTTGATAGTCTCCAATCTTGTAGAGGTAGTTGGCCATAACCACTGCATTGCCAGAGCTAAAAGATAAGATGACAGATTGGATCGCGAATGTGGTTGGAAACAACCACTTGGGTCGCGGGTACGCTTGTTCAAGATAGGCCACCTCAGAGCCTGATCGAGACGGAAAATATGCTGCATACTCCAAATAAACCGATAGCGAAGAAATTGACGTGAAGAATCCAACCATCCAGAAAATAAGACTAAGCCCAACTGAGCCGGTACCTTTCAAGATCGACGCAGCTACAATCCACTGTTAGCTTCTTTGACTTTCGTCAAAGCAGTTTCCACGTACGTGTCGAGAATATTCCTAGGATTGATTAGCAAAAATGGAAATATTGAGATTGAGGAACCAAATACCTGTGCCAATCATTTTCGATATATTCAAGAACACTATTGTGATAGGTCCAACATTGTATCCCAAAGGGGAATGAGTCTCGACAGGGGCTCCACTCGCTTCTTGATAGGCAATGGGAGCATTGTTGCCACCTTGCTCCCCGACATATTTCAGATCTCCATCTATGACTTGAATGTTTCCACTGGCTGTCACCGATTGAACCGCAGAAGCTGATCGATCTGGGTTCTCACCAATCTTGAAACGATTTCTGAAGAGTGAAGACATTGCGAAAGACAACCAGGTTTCTCGATGACCCAGTGCGACACGCTATGTCATGGGGAGATCTTGGAGGCGTGTAAGCATGCGACTTAAGACGGACATAGCAGGTATATATGGAACTTTAAGGATAAAGCCGACCTTCCGCGGTTGGAGTTGGTTGCAAACTGGAGTGCAGATGTCACCATCGCACGTCATTTGCAACAGGATTGTTAAATTCTGGCGCATCGCCTTCAGATACTTGTTAAACCTATCACATTGTGTCGCGTGCCGAGCACGCGAAAGATAATGTATTTGCGACATCGCAGGGGTACCTGGAAGAGCCAAGGTGTCGGGTCTTTGTTTTGCTGGGCAGCTTGGTCGTACAGCCTCGTATATTCTTACTATTCTTACTGAAGATGTAGATTTCTATCATTGAATAAACAATGAAGTGTTGTGTGATACATCTCTCGGATAAAACTATGGCCTTGGAAGCGATGGAAGTATTGGGGAACTATGAACAGCTGGCCGACAATGACTAGCAAATTTGAAAGCGGGGATGATGTAACATTTATGTGGGACCATATACATAGAATACGGGATTGTACATACTCACTTAAGGATTGGCTGATAACGATCCTGGCATATCCTAGCTAAAGCCCAAAAAGGAACCCAAGCCCTGAAGGTCCATCTTCTATTTGCTCGGTCATACTCATGATATTGGTATCTACAATGCATTGTGTCTGCAAACGTATTTTGCGTTGCTAATAAAAACAAGGTGATGAAACAGCTTTATCCCGACTAAAAGCACTCTCAGTGTTAATTAAGTCATCTGAGTCTGCGATCTAGATAGTACTCTTCAAAAGCGGAGTAAGATGCTGTAGTGGGCCCAAACCTGAGGTGGGGATTTACAGGTCTAAACAACGCTAACTAGTTGGGCAAAGTACGTTTGCAGACGTGGTGTACAAGCTTTCAAAACGGCCTATGGATTTTACTCCAGTGGCTTACTTTTCCCTCCACTTGCCGTGCGAATTGTGGGCTCCAGCGGAAAGACGGAGTTTTCAGGCGCTACACCTTCGAATATGGACCATCTTGACTTCAACGCCTCCGATGTAGGCCATGCGTTCTCAGGATCACGCAGCCAAAGGCGGACAAGATGACGCCTAAATCGCTTTAGCACGGGATCTCGCATGATTGGGTCAATTGATACTCACTGCTGCTCTGGAGTGTTCTTGAATCCGTCTCGGGCATGGAAAATGCTCAAGTTGTTGACATATTGTACATCGCCCTTTCTGAAACCAAGAGAAACAGCATGTTTCTCAGCTAGAAAATGGAGGGCATCAAGGGCCTCGGCCTGAGCTTCAGTGATAGGTGGCACGTCAGAGGATCTTGGCAATCCCCAATAGCCTGTGAATGTCCTTCGTGCGTACTGGATGATCAGTCTCTCAGGAGTAGACTTGGTCTTTGGCTGATAGTGAAGCAACGGTCGAAGTGCATACTTGTCCCCCCTACCGCCAAAACTATCACAAAATTTAGGAACAGCTTCTTCAAGTTTGTTTAGGCTACGACTTTAACGTACTTCTCGCTCGCCCAAGGCTCAGCCAGGGTCCTGATGAGATCTGGTCTCGTTCTAGCGAGCTCGTTGTACACTGTCCATGAGCTGGACAACTTGCTTTCGCCGCCCTCCGCAGCAGTCTCCAAACATGCTAAGGCGATAACGTCTCCCGAATCAGTATGGAACACCTGCTTATCATTTGTATAAGCAGGTGCTCCAATTTTATTGGCATCCACAATTGAGCTTAGATCTTTGATGTGAGCTAAGACGACATCGGCTGGTTTTCCCTGGTACTGAAAGTCCTGGCGCCCTCTAATTGGAGCAACGTGGGACGAGACTCCAGCGTATATGATAATGTTCTCTTCACGATCATGCTTATCAAATGGTAGGCCTCGAAGGACCTTGAAACCGCGTCGGTTATGGACTTCATCGGAAATGTTGCGCAGCTCAGCGTGCAGCTTTGGAAGAGGAAATGTGTCTTTGTTGATGAAGCCGAGTGGTTTCCCAAGAGCTGCTGTTGTTTCAGCATATGTCCATTTTACAAATCAAAATAGCTTACATTTGAAGTATTCTAGCGCGCGCTCAATCTCCTGAAGCTCTTTGTCATTGAGTTCGTAGACGAAATTGTACTTTTTCGCAATGTCGCTTCCATTCCATACGAGGTCAGAATTCAGTTCGTGAGGGAATCCATCTGGTAGTTGGTTCGACAACTCTTCAGTAGCTTTTCGGCGGGCAACACGTGCGAGATACTTGTCGAGATCGGGAGCGTAATCAATATCGGGTTGGCCAACGGGGCCAGTTCTTAACACTTGAGCAGTGGCCATGCTAATGTTTGACATGCAATGTACTGTATATTCTGCAAGCCTTGTATTGACGAGATTCGACATTATACATAAGCTAGTGTCGCAATGAGATTGGCATATCACGTCAACGGATGTGTGATGCGGCCTTGATAGCGCAATTGAGCTAACAGCTTGCGTCAACGCGGGGCTGATAGCGTCATGCCCTAGTCCCGGGCCGTCTCCAACAGCAGTACAATGAACGTACATACAATCTACACTTATGTGTTCTTTTTCCTAGCAACCTACATGGATATCTTAGTGAACAGTTGTGTATAGTATCGGACCATTATTCCTACCATAGTGGACACGAGCTACCTTCTATTCCTTATCCTGGCCTATGGCCAAGTAAGAGAACAATTAATTAGACATGAAACTCTATAGACTTATCGAACTTATGAAACTTGTTATATATGCTCTATCTGTATTGTAGACTACCCTACTCTTGCACCACGCCGCTGTCGATACTGCAATCATTGTGTACCTGTTGAAAGAAGTCACTAGATGAAAGTAAATACATAGACATATTCGAGGAACTTTAATTTCTTAGTGATATGGAATATCGCGATACTAGTTATGTATTTAGGAACGGCGGTTGATGAGGTTGAGCGATCAGTGCGCTTTCTCCTTATTAGGGGTAAATAAACTTTGATGCCCAAACGCCCACCCTGGATCCATATACAACGCCATTTTTACCTGATCCAGACTGTAATACTTGAATCCATCCCTCAAACCCGCTTCTAGATTTATCTTTAAACTTCCTGTGTCGACCATCCTCGAGAAGCGTTCAATGTGCTCTCTCTCGTACATGAATTTACCCCGGATCTTCAATTCACTCAGGATCGTCTCTTGGTACGGAATTTTAAAATCAGCAAACGCGCCTCTCAATAAAACATACTCTCCATCACCTCTAAAAAAAAAGACTCCTACCCTGGAAAAACGGCAGTTCTTCCTTTAAAGAGGAAGGACTGTAGTCCAAAAAGTCGTGCACTCCTTTTCCACCAGTTGTATTTTTTAGTGCTTTCGCGCCTACGTCCGTGTCACCTGTTAAAACAACCATTGTTAACCTCTCTTTCGCACCATGGTACCTTTCTAACACCTTGAGCTTCTCAGCGTTACGAGCTGCAGCCACAACCTTATACCCTATCGCTAAAGCGACTAACACACCAACTCCTGAAAAATTCCTTGTCACTGGCCCCAAGATTTGAGCTTGCCAACCATCCCATTACTAATAGGAAAGATTCTGCAAGCGCAAAGTCACTAATCTTGTATCCTAGTCCACTTTTCTCCTTCCTTTCCACCCATTTCTCTTCCAATTTAAGAATCCTTTCTCGCGGAACAAGCAATCTTTCTTTGAACACGCCCTATTCCAGACGCATTTCGTGAGAGTGAGCAAGCCAGGGTCAGCGCCGCAGAGGGAGGTGCGAACGACTTCGGCGTGCGGATTACCACGGCTGCGGATCCTGGCATCGAACCAAACGAGGTCGCCAATTTGGAGGGTGGTGACATCAAGCGGAAGAGAAATCATACTTGCAACGAGCGCTGAGATGAGTGTAACAGGTGGGGTTAAAATATTTTTAGGAACTAGGGGCGTGCCGAACTGCTCGAGTACTAGAGCTTTGTGGGTTGCAACTGTGGGTATTGATGTGTTCTGGAAATATATAGGGACAAGTTCAAAATAATGAATTGTTGGGTGAAATTTTTGACATTGAACAAGGGAAACACTCTTTACTCACATTTCCCTTATCTGCACTTCCTGTTACGCACCTTGTGTTTACTTAACTATGTCTCCTAATTTGCAATTTGGAGCCTGCGGACAGACATCTAGTAACCATCAGAGGCTGAACATTAGGCTAACTAAATGCATGAGTAGTCCATGCAGGGTTTGAAGGTGAGACTTGTCTCAACGAACTCTCAGGGCTAAAACTCCGAGTTTTTATCAAAGGCTTCTCTTCGAAATCTTTACGCCGAGTACACATTCATTCTAGCCAGTTGGGGTGTAGCCTGCTATTCTTTTCTGAGATAATTGATCTGATACGCTATATAGTAAGTAGAGAGAAAAAGGTCAACCGATAGTCTATGCAAACCGAATGAAAGGGTCATAGAACATTGTCATTCTAAGCGACCGTATAACTACACCGGCGTTTGAGGTTGTCGCTATGGGGTAGTTTTGGCTAGCTACGTCTTTCCAAGACTAATTCTATCAGCTCTCGAGTGTGTCTTTGGATGATGTTGTTATGTCAGCTGAGTCATGTCCACTCCAAACTGGCGCCATTGCTTTTTGACATCAATATCAATCTTCCCAGAATTCGATGCCACGAGTGAGTCCCTCCCAACAAACCCAGTCGTATACATCACGAGATGTTCCTAGTAGTATTTAGTGTTCACTCTTAACTATAAAGATATCAGTAATAGTTACCTTTCCTAAAGTTAATTTGATTGAGCTTTCTATCCATCGCATCGGGGTGTAGATCTTCAGGGTTTTCTTTCCCTTGATCAGAGATAAGATATTGTCAACAACAACAAAGGTTTGCATAAAACTCGCTCGTCCCATCTTTGGTCCACCAGAAGCCGCAACGTCGCCAGCAGCAAAGATGTTCGAAAAACGCTCATCGGCGATCTGCAATGTTGGTCTGACAAGAATGTGAGAAGACTCCTTTGATATTGACTCCGGTGAAAGGCTGGACACGACAGAGCTGTTTGGCCGCTGACCAGTACAGGGGATCTGCGCTTCGTGAGTTGACAGATCGAAGGAATCTCGATACCCATGGGGTGACTCACGATGAGATCAAATGTCTCTTCTTCACCTTGTTTTAATTTGAGGGTGTGACTTCCTTCCACAATCTGTGGCCGTTGATTGAACCAGACCTCGACGCCCATTTCACCAAGCCTTTTCGTTACGTGCTGATGTAGCCGTTCTCCAAAGCTCGGGAGCAGCCTTTCTCTTGAATGTAACAGCACAACATTTTTCTCTGGATGAAAGCCCTTGATATCGCTTGCAAGCTCGACGCCTACTGCGCCTCCACCAACAACCGCGATTCGTGTTGCTTTCTCGATTGTACTCTGCAAACCTCTCAACTCTTGCTGCGCATCAAGACTCTCGGTTGCTGAAACTTTACTTGGAAGTGCTGATGACGTGCCAGTGGCAATCACTAGGTATTCATATTCCAGCTCCCTTCCATCCTCCAGTCTGATGATGCGCTCATCCACTTTATCAACCTTTCCCTGCGCAAACTCAAATATGCTTTTTGGTGCTCCCTTTTCGAGCCCTCCATATGGGATGAAGGCGAATTTCTCGTACCCGCTAATCACGCTAAACCTAGGAAAGGCAAACACATAATTAAAATGTGAGTTCTTCTCGATGAGAACGACGCGATATCCACTGGGAAGCGTTTCGATCAGGTATTTTGCTGTAAAATATCCGGTGAAGGAACCACCGACTACGACCACGTTCTTAGTTTGGGTTGACGGCAGGGATTTGTAAGTGTAACTGTGGATCATAGCCTTTAATTTGCGGGCCGAGGCCGTTAGGGCGAACGAGGGCAAGTGCCGTAGAAAGAGAAAAAGAAGAGTAAGATAATCAGATACCATTTTCCATGAACGCTGGTATGAGAAAGTGATGCGTTAAACCCTACGCTGAATCTCTCGTGAAGACCGGCCTGTGGCATTCAAATCCTGCTACTTCCCTACTACCTTTTGTTTTAACCGATAAGTCGGAGCCGGGATTCTGGAGTGACGTTCGGATCCGAACTCTTATGTACCCTGCCTCTCATACTTACACCCAGTAAAACCGCATTGTTACGACCAGCCTTAGAATGTGAAAGACATTTCACTGTTATGTTCATTCAACAAGGTATTATGAAAATAAA